GTGCGCGTCCAAATATATAAGAATAATATACATCTTACCTTCTACACTTTTTCCAGTTAACACAAATCACTCTTGCTACCGCAACTAAAGCAGCAAAAATGTATAACATAATTGGCATCCATTGACATGCTGTGAGGAAATAAAATGCATACCGACTGTGAGGTCCGTGAGTATCGTAAGGGTTCTTCTTAACTGTCTGTGCACTCCACTCAGTCAATTACCTCGCTTAGGGGAGTACACTAGGGAGATTTTGGTATTTTACTTGGACCATAGGGTGTTTAAGCTTTTAATAAACGGTTGGGGGGAGGAATGGTAAAATTGATTTCCTGCTTTATTTCAACCTCGTTTTCAAGTTTCTCTCGGTCGTCTCTCAGAGCGAGAGGGGAGGATCATGCCTGATCTGAGAAGGTTGGTTTTATTAAAATCTCACATATAGGGCAAATAGCTACTAAGCCACGTCCGAATTGACCTCCACTAGATTGAGGTTTAATTCTTCTTTTCGACGCGCATTCCTGTCCAGTTTCGTATAGGAGGTACCCTCTAGGGCCTCAAAGCCACTGACCACATTTTCACCTTGCACGACTTGAAAGAAAGCTACGTCAACGACATAATAGCATCCCGACTATAATTTAGGGTCGCAGTGTACGATATAAGAGTTTTCTGAATACCATCTATGGATACCGGGTACGATACAACATCATTCAGGTTACTATGTCAGCTTACCGAGTACGAAACAACAGCATACAAGTTACGATCTATGCCGCTACTATACCGGGTACGATACATTAGCATTGGAGTACGATATAATTCTATTCTGGTTACGATATGAGGTTACCAATTATTTTGAAACATTCGTATTCTTCTGGCAAATTATGTTCCGAAAAGTTCGAAGAAGGAAAAATAGAGGTTCGAAAGGCATAGCTGAATGACATAGAAATTTCACAAGTAGAGCAATATATCTGCGCGCGCATGCTTTTCCGACCCGCTGTATTTCTGGCAGCCTCCAGGGTCGGGTTGCAAAATCATCTTAAGATTAAGGGAACTCGTAACAATTATTTCAAAAGAAGAGGTTATTGTTCCAGTACAAAAGTTAAGAGCCCTTTTATCTGAAGAAGATTTTATGCAACCTGGCCCAGGGCCGGGTTGTTCCGAAGCTGGGTTAAGATAAGCTAAGGCTAGTGCAAAATTTGAATTCAAACATGAAAGCGTTAAAAGCAAATTCAGTTTCATTCTCTTTGTCTACAATTTGATGTTGAATGCTCCAAAAAGAATAGAAAAAATTATCCGAGAAAACCGGGATTCAAAATTAACCCCGGGTTAAGGCTAATTGGCTTTTGCACAGTTGTTGCTTAAGGGGGGAGTCTGGTTGAAATTTTGAGTTAAATTATGAACTCAGTCATTTTTTTGTTGTATTCGTTTTTAGACAGAAAAACTATTCAATATTTAATAACAATATATCCAGTGGATAAATCTTTATGCAGTAGTACTAGACAACGCAATTGATTTTCTTATCCCCTGGATAGTGATCTATCCGATGGATAGCTCTATCAAACTTTTAAACAACCGGGGGGAAGTTGATTCTCTTTAATTACATATTTCTAGAAGACGGTTACTTTGTGCATTAAACAAGCGCAATTAACTTCGTCATAAATACGTCATCAAAGGTGATAAGTAATAATGCCTTTGCAGTTTTTTGTACGTCAACAAACAGTCAAACAACAGCAACAACTTTAAAACTATTTTTATCGTCTTTCAGTGTCAGAAAACATTATTGCTATCCAGTGTTTAATAATCATTTGAGGCAGTTAAAATCCTGATCCGAGGGCCGTAGCGCTGAAATTATGGAATTCCGCTCAATTCTGAGGAACGCAAAATTTAGTTTTCAAGCTATCAAAGTAAAAGAAACCTACAAAGTTTCGGTGAATTTCATGAAAAAATAAATCTTTTCCTTTCTTGCTTAAGTATTTTTCACTGAAAGGAATTTCCTGTCCGTCTGAATAACTTTAATTTGTTACGTCAGCAACTTTAACCAATTTTAGAGCTTCGATATGCATGGCTTGAGGGATACTTAAACCGTGAGAGCAATATACAGTGAAATTAATAAATGATTTTTTTATCAGCGTGTAATATAAAGAAGAAAAAAAGGTTTTGACTCACCCTTCAATTCTACGAAGTCAGCCATGTAACCTCGTGCTATAAAACACATAAATGTGAAAATTAAGCCAAAAATGTTCAACAGTAATATAAACCCAGCCATGTTCAGGCAGGAAATTTGCAATCTAATTAGTTCACGTCATAAATCAGTCTCAATACAAAAAATACTTTACTAATTACAGATACTATAAATTAGCCTTAATGAAGAGTTACGTCATTAAAGAGCTAGTGCTCAGAGCTCTTTTTCCGTCAACGGATTTATCGATCGGTCTATTTATGACAATTCCGCGCAATCGCCTGGAATATCGCCTACCGTGAGGACACGCACCGTGCGCCATTCAAGAAGACCACCCTGCGAAGACCTCACAGGGCTGAGAAAACAATAAAAAAATAACAGTTACAATATACCATATGAGCTCTAAAGCTGTTCTACTGAAGAACCAATGAAATTAGAGATTCTAGAGAGTTTCACACCAGCTATTGCCCGCGTCCCATACGAGATTTCTAGAGTGTTAACGCCATTAAAGAGCTCTTGCACAGGGCCCTTCTTCACCATTTACGAGTATAGCTAGAAGTAATCAGGGATTAATAAGTGCGTTCAAACATTGGTCATTGGTCGATAACACATGCCATATTCGCTTCTTTGAAGATAGACTAACGCACTTTCTGCACGCGTCAGAAGAAGTAAACAAGTTCTTGATAGTTGTATTAGACCTATTCAAAAAACATTGCGTTTGCTTTCAAAGAATCTCGATTTTAGGTTGGTTCAACTACCGGAAATACGTCATAGCCTCCACGGGGAAGGTGCTGGCGCTTCTAAAAGAATCAGAATGTGCGCAAATGTTTTTTTCTTTTACGTGCAGCTTTGCTCATTTTCTATCAGTCAACCAATCAATAAACTTTATTTATCCACGGTAGTAATTCAAGCTGAAAAGCTTATGTGGCCGAGCAAAAAAAAGAAGAAATACAAAATTACTACCATTATCACTGTACAGTAAATAAGTCTTTTACATACTAAAATGTTACGAGTTATAATTATTACATTCGCGCACATTCTGATCCTTTTAGATGGGGGCGCACCTTGCCCGTGCAGGCTATGACGTATTTCCGGTAGTTGAACCAACCTTAAATCGAGATTCTTTCTGCTAAATGCTTGTGCCGAGGCTTCTCGCGTTCAGTTTAGGTTGCGTTCGCTTAACGTCGAACGCAATTAGTAATCCCATACTTTTGCCTATGATTGCAGGAATATCGAGTCACGAAACAAGAAGCCCACAGAGGCGGTAGGCAACTTTTACAAGATTTCACAGGAGGCCCAATAAGAGCAATGATAAACAAACAACAGTAACAATGCAGCCTGTGTGCAACCACCGCCTCCCCTTTTGTTAGAGGGGATGTGGTTGCCGTACACAGGATACAACAATGGACTAAATAACCCTAAAACAGTAGAGCTGTGTGCTATAGAGGATCCAGTGAAATGAGAGATTCTAGGAAGCCCACAGCCCACTGGCAGGGCTAGTTAGAAATAAAAGGGGCAACGTCTCGCTATGACTTCACCTTAACTCTTTGTTACACTGACCGTGAGCTGTAGTCTGAGATGGCTGAACAATTGCCAGCCAGTTACTGCGAAAAAAAAAAAAAAGAAAAGGACCGATGGTTCGTCCCCATGCCTATTTGAAGGGTGGAGTTACACACCTAGTACACCAAGCTCAGTGGCCTTTTTTTAACACGGCCTGCTCTTTGCCATTGTTTACAGGGACCCCGAACGCGAACACGAACGCTGGAGGGAACAAATCTTGTTGGAATGCGTAACACAGAACAGAGCGTTTTAACTCACTTGGGGAGCAGATATGCAAATTTATTGGGAAAAATAGGAAGGGTTTACGTAAGTGTAAAAACACACAAATGAAAACAGCATCAACAACAACAAGCATAATAGTCCAGCGAAGAGAAGAAGATCAAGACTGTGTGACGCAAAGGCAAAAAAAAATTAACGATACAGTCCTTTGGGTTCCTGTATGTCAGCCAGCGAATGCAGACGTATTTTCGATCGTCGCCTCAATTCTCTCCATCCGAAAAGTGACCTTTCGCGAGAGAAGCGACGACCGGAAATACCTCTACAGCCGTGGTTTTTTGTGCGCCAAACCGAGATTATTTTGCAAACTGCTCTGCTGTTTTCTTTTTTCTTTCTTTCCTTTTTTGGGGAAGCGTTAAGTTCCAGTCGCGTCGCGAAGCGATTTGTAGGGTGCTTTAGTAACTACGACGGCGACGGCAACCAGGACGTAAAAAAAGCAATAAGTTTATTACGCAAAACAACAACTTTGCAAGTGTATCACGCTTTTTTGTACATTTGTTTACCGTCCTTGCACGACTACGACGTGAAAATGCCTAATTGAAAGTTTTATGGAGGACGTAAACAAGCGACGACGAATCTCTTTTTCTCTCTCTAAACTTGAGTGCGGTCCTCAAGAAATCAACTCCAGGGAAATTCGCCTGCACTTGCCATTTTCAGCAAATTGGAATAAACGCGACAAAGATTGAAAAAACGGGAATTCATTTTAAAACTGACGTTTTCGCTGCCGTTGCCGTCGTCGATGCTAAAGCTCCCTTGGGCGCGATCCATTCAACCAAAATTCCAACCGGTCCGACCGGGAAAAGAGGACCACCTCAAAAGGTGGACCCGTTTTTTCGAAACTTTTCCGGTTGGACCGAACCGATCCATTGAGGTTTGGACCGAAATTTCCGGAAAGTTTGGTTGAATGGATCCCGCCCCTTGTGTCTTGTCCCCGCGCGCTTTCATATAACGCGTGGCACTGGAGTCGAGTAGGATACTGTTGTTCTCTGCCAACATGGCTGCTCAGAGCTCAGGCAGCCAAACTTCTACCGGCTCAACCAGGGCGTTTGCCCAGAAACTGAACAAGTAAGTCCAAAAATTGTTGCCTTGAAGATTATGAAAACTGGAGAATTTTTGTTAATGAGATTTGTATCTTTGTTTTTGTCTAGATTTCGAAGGAATGGGTCGACCTCTTTCGGCACGCAAACAAGTTTCACAAAGTCACCGTCGGTTTCGAGCTCTTTCCTCCATTTTGCTACCGGAACGGTAAGTCATTTCTGAAATAGTGTGGGTATAAGGTGAAACAAGATTTTGTTTTGATATTCCTTGAGGCGTCTTTGAAATTTGTAGCTCCAATTAACGGCAGTGTTTGTGGGAAGATTAATATAAGATGGTGGTGGGACATTGTACTGTAGCTGTATATTAATTACACTGAACGGAAATCGACAATGAATTTTATTATTTTATGTTACTTCAATTACTTAACGAAACAAAATATTGGGCCTTAAGTTTACAAGAGTAGTCCTTTAGCGTTCTTAAGCTAAATTTAAACAACAACTGAATTGCGGGAGATTACACATGACGTATGATCGAAGCGGGGGACAGGAAGTAAAGTAACACTAATCTATTCTTTTTTAGGTCATAAGAATTTTCCTAACTTCCGTTGTCCTTTGTGTCAGTCTTGAAGTATTCTTTTAAACTGTTTACCAAAGAGTCTCTAAAGTTATATATTGTGTCAAAATGTTTTATTTCAATGTAATGTTGGCCCAAAACAGAAATTGGCAGGCTGACTTTTAAGCATAGAGCTGCCATTGCTTGGAACTCACTTCCTGATTCGATCAAAAAGTCTTCTAGCTTAGAATGTTTTAAAAAAAGACTTAGATCTAGCAAGGACTTAATTAATTCTATAAGCTATAATAAGGAATCTTCCATGATAAGAAATAGGAATGAGGAATTTCTTTATTAATCTTATTTATATTTGTATTGTTATTATTATTTATTATTTAACTTCTGTTGATTTTCTATTTATTCACATGTACATACTTTAGTTTTTTTTTTAACAAGTAGATAGGCAGGTCCACATCAGGACTTCAGTCTTGCGTATTCTGTAACCTGCGTTACCAAATAAACTATGTATGTATGTATGTATGTATGTCTTTCATTTGTTAGTCATTTGTAAAGGGTCTAAGAGAAATGAAGACATTTCATACTTGAATTTTTTTGTGTCCAGCATTTTGTTCGCTTTTGAAAATCGATTCCCCTGAATATAAAATTATTGATATTGCACAGGATTATTATCAATGTCATGTCACTGGACAGTGAATCAAAACCATTGAATTACTTAAGTCAAGAATTCTAGGAAAAAATTGGATAACATACATTGGGGCCGTTTATAGAAGAGAAAATAAGCTGTGGCTTGCTCTGGCTGCGGCTTACATAAGAGGCAAAAGGAACCATTTATACGAGTGCGGCTTACATAAGACACAAACTGCTGGTATAAATGGTTCACACCTTAGGCGGCGGCAGACCAGTCCAATGATGACGTAGTTTGTTTTGGTGCGAGCGAGCGAGCCAAAAAAGCGAAACGACTGGCTTTGGTCAGGAAAATCGCCATATTTTACACTGTTGTTTTCTTTTCAAATTAACATTTCGGTCAAGTTTAGAGTTAGGCTGTTGAGAAACTTGTGCGGAAACCTCATCGAAAAGTTCGTCAGCGATCAGTCAGTTGAGTGGATTGAAAATGATGTTCTGGCGATGGATGAGGTGGAGAAAATGGACGAAATTTCCGGCTCTCTCGTGAAGCAGGTCATTTTCCCGCCAATGCAGCGTGCGTCTCTCGGTCACGAAGGTCTGGTATATAACTGAAAACAGAGCATGTGCGAGTATGTGCAGTAATTGTTCACAGCTTCAGCAATCCGCGGAAAACATATGAGTGCATTTATATGAACACTTTCACGTCTAAGTTAAGCCGCGGCTTGGATAAGCCCAGCCCAAAACTCCTCGGCCAGGATAAGCCGCGGCTTGAGCTAGCCGTTGGTTGAATAAGCCGTGAACATAGATTTTGTACCATTTATACGGGGCGTTTGCGTCTTCTCTGGCCGCGGCTTATTATCTCTCGTATAAACGGCCCTAATGTCTGTGATTTCTGTCACTGAGAGAGCCCAAAGGTATTCCCAACAACTGTTGTCATCTCTTGTCCAACCCCCTTTACATGAAATCCCAGATATTCCCCTGCAGGGAACTAATTTTGGGGGGGAGCTCTCTCACATTAGTTGAAGCTGAAAAGGTATTATTATGTGGGCACCTCATAATAGGGTATAGGGGTCTTAGTCTTTAAATGAGCTATCATCATCATCAAAATCATCTTCATGGCAATCATCATCAGCATTATCATCATTATCACTATCTGGTGAAAAAGAAGCAAAACTACCCAAAACATTGTTTGCAGGTCGGAGCACTACATGGGCATTTGCTCTAGCTCTAAATACAGCTTTCGAAGTTCTAGGATGTGCAGTCAAAATCTTGACAGAATGCTTCACTTCTCCTCCCCCCTGTAAGCTTCTGACACTTTTGTTCCCCTGTTCGAGCAACCCTTAGAATTATAACAAAATATCTATCACTATGTATCTTGCTTTTTATTGCAGATTCCTCTTAATGAGGTCGTGGAGCCTCCTGAGTTCGAGGAGATTGTGATGGCAAACCAGCCTTTCAACGAGAATGACCCCAAGAGTAAAATGCTGGAATTTCCAGATGATGATATGGAGGTCACCACTATCCCTAGGCAGTGTCGCACAGTGTTGCCATGCTTTCCTAAGGAGTTAGGGTACATGACTATAATTTATTAGTAATGGTTATAATGAAGGTAGATCTTAAGGGAATTATGAAGCTATGATGACAACGATAATAGGAAGGTTGAAAGTGCAACAACTTTGCACAAAGTGCTTGATCCTTTCCTGTAAAGTTTTTCCCAGAAAAAGAAGAATCCTTCATCATGTGAATAGGAAAACTTGGTACATTTGTATGTATGTCTATTTGAAGAGGAAGCCAATAAACTCCATAATTATAGTTTTCTTTGTTACTCTCACAGTTTCAATTTATCTTTGTTTCCTTTGTTGCCATGTCATCTATCCATGTCAGTGTTTTGAAGGCCAAATGTGCTTGTCAGAATGTCAATTAACAGATGATGATATAGACTGGTACTTAAAAACTAACAGGAAACAGTTGTAGTCTTTGGTTTGTCTGTTTGGGTAGTTTTATCTACTGTAGCAGTTAATTCAAGATTCCTTTTTAATGCAGAATTGAGAACAACCCACAGCTCAAAGACAGCATTCACTGTTATTCTGCTGACTGGTCAATTGTTAATCGCAGGTAATGTAATTTAGAAGAAGGAGAATTCTAACAATAGAAAGCTCGGAAAAAATTGCGAGCTCTAGCAGGGTATTAAACTCATGACCCTCCAAGTTCTAGTTTGGATGCTCTAATCACTGAGCTACTGGAGGCTCTTTGGCGAGCGGGGTCAAAATCTAAATTGTACATGTAACTACAACAGTCATATTGGAGACTTGCTCAAAATTCTGCTTGTTGAAACCAGCCAGGTTTCTGAGCCTTGCCTGTTTTGACTAGGTGCTCACTTATATTTTCACTTACTGTTGTTAACTAATCGGCAGTTAACTCATGGTGGGCACATCTCCATGACCCTGGAGCTATGCAGAGTGGAGTCTTGTGTTCCTGGTAGGGTGACTTTATACACGTATGCACTACAGATCGGAAGGAATAGACCAGATGGGGTGTGATCCCTGTGCATATTTCCATTTTCTTGTGTAATCATATTATTACAGTTGGGGATGGGGAGCAAATTGACTAAATCCAGGGAAGACCCCATGACTTGCCACTTGCCGTAAATCCTCTATTAAGTCCCCTGTTGGGCTTATTTATTTCAAGCCCATTTGAGGGGAAGGGGGGGAGGGCTTGATAGAGATGGGGGGCTTACTTAATTTAGAAAAGACAATAGTATCAGTTCTCCATAAAGAACTAGGTTACAAAGTGGAAAAGCTCAAGTACAGGAGGGTTGTAGATCATGCGGCCAAGGATTAGAATCAAATCCAAACTTCAAGTTTTTAGATAAACCATCTTTGATCAGTCTACGTGAGTTTGTACAGTCATGATTGATTAATACAGTCTATCATTTATTAGTGAAGAATAATTAGGGGAGGGGAGGGGAGGGGGGCTTATTAACCGTCTTCTCCTGAAAAGTGGGACTTCTTAGAGGGAGGGGGCTTATTTGAGAGGGGGGACTTAACAGAGGATTTACGGTGTGTTACTGAAACACAGTGAAGGGAAACTGGTTAACTGCTTGGAGAAAAGGTGTTAGAGGTAGAATAGTCCAGTACTGAACAAATGGTATAATAACGTTTTCCCTGATATTTAGTATCATGTTTATGGCAAACAGCAAATGTCAGATTCAAATTGACAATTTACTAAAATAAGAAATGAGCAGATAAAAACTGTAAACTATGCATCTCCACTGAAATTGGTGAGAAACTTCTAATTGTTTTGTGGACATAATGACCAGTGAACATCAAGTAAAGGAAATAAATGAAGTGGTACAAAGTGATGTTTGCCTTTGCCGTAAACGTTATTCTAAATCTTTTTAATAACTGCCATCTAATATTACTTGCAATCAGATATCAGTTTCGCTCCTCCGATGAAGGAAGACCAGATTCAAGACGTCGAATAGTACGATCACCAAGCTTTGTTAAGTCACTCCCAAGCCAAGTTTATGAAATTGATGAAAAGGGAAAGTTACCAGAGCAGGTAAGAATAAGAATTAATGCTTGAATTTACTGCTGCTGTATTTACACACATTTAAAAATACTGGAGTTTTTCTCCGCCATCACCTTGTGTTAGTCATTAAATACCTAACATGTACATTCGTACTTGCTCAAGGAAACCTTTTGCATATTGAATGATGGGATCAATTTAGCCTTCTAGGGAACTGCCCACCTACCCCTCCCCTAACTCAATGTTAACATTTACTTCTCACTTGGGGCAAAATGTTGGGTTTGGGTGGGGTGGGTGGGCAGTTTCCCAGAACCTAAATGATGCATGGTCAATTGCTCAGTCAGATGAGTACTGGTCTGCCAAATTACAGATCTTGAGTTTAACCTTAGCTGGACCAAAATTCATGGTCTTAAAGTAACTTTGGAGAAAGTGCTGCCTTTGAAATGACATCAGGCACCAGTTGTTCAAACATTGGATAGCGCTATCCACCAGATAAATCACTGTCCAGCGGATAAGTATTACAGAAATCAATTACGCTATCCCCTGGATAGTGATTTATCCGGTGGATAGCGCTATCCGACGTTTGAACAACCGGGGCCAGTTCTATAAAATAATAATCAATTTCTCTAGTGTTCTCAGTCAAGGATGATAAACCATGATTGGCCCATCTCGCAACCTAATTGCTGATATAAAATCTGTGGGACATTAAAGAACCCACATGCTGTTTGTAAACAGTTAGTGGATGTACATTACAGTAGTCGCTGCTGTGGTGGTCTAACTCTGCCAGCAGGTGGTCAGCCTGGCTGGATTCTTTGGAGGGGCTTCTGAGCAAGTGAGATCACAATCACAAATGGCAGCCATAAGTCTGACAGTTATGTGTTGGATGTTGGAACCCTAATTAACAGGGCTTCTGATACTTTGTGTGGTCGCGAAGCCGCGAAATTCAGGTAAATCCACAAAATCCTGCGAAATTTACAAAAACATGAAAAATACCGCGAAATTTGGTAGAAATCTTATCAAATACATGTCTGTACAACATATTTGAAACTTATTTCAGCGATAGGGGCTATATACTTGCCGTAAACTTGCAAATTTATCTTGGAACTTCGTCACTGAAACGTGCAAACAATGTCCCAAAACTACCAGGTGTAGATTAAGTTGCAAAAAACTGGGCACTAGCCATGATGTTAAAGGCTTTGCCATTGGTTCATTTCTGGAGCGTATTGTTGTTGAAAGAGCAAGTGGTGACCTCTGTTAGAAAAACGTTAAAAATTCTGGTCTGATCAGCACAAAACTGATCGATTTCTAGCGAAATTTGCCTTGAAAATAACTGCAAAAGTGGCCCTTTTATCCGATTGCTTTTTGGTGAAGTTTGCCCCAAAAACTCTTGCGATATTCCCACGAAATCGGCCGATTTTTCCGCGATTTGTCCCTAAAAATCCCACAAAATTTCACTTTTTCTTCCGCGGCCTATCAGAAGCCCTGAATTAAGGAACTCAAGAACTTAGGAGTGATTTACCCTAATTTGTTGTGAAAGGAACCTTTGTAGAATACACATACAGGGAACAAAGTGTATTCCCTTGAACTTCAGTTGGAATTTATTTTACCTACAGGGTAAAAGTGGTTCACAGCAAAAACTAGCACCACCCTCTAAAGAAGACAGCTTACCAAGGGGTAGCTGGGCATCAAGGTAATTAGTCTAAGTTAATATGTTATAATAATATAATATTGTTCTGTGAACATTTCATTTTTTGTTTTTGATGATATCTCATCAACAATTCTAAGCTTATAAAATTACATGTACATGTAACAGTCTGTAGATTATTTGTAGTGCAATTTGAACCTGCTGTGTTATGTCTTCTATGTTTACACAACAAAAGTAAAATCAAAAGTTTCAGGCCTTGTCTCTAATCCCTAATAATTATTATTTGTATATCTTATAATTCATAACATATAAATTTTGGCTTTAGGATAATATCATGGGTGATGTATTACTCCTTTATTTTAGCGCAAAATTTCAGTGATATTTCTAATTTCACTTGTGAAATTACAAAATTGCCATGGCAACCATCTGTACGTCTCAGTGCCAAGATGATGACAAAGTCTAAAAATTTTATGAATAAAGATGTCAGGGCATAAAAAGATGCTTTAGAAAACCTAAACACAGGAAAGAGCACATCAAGAAGGATTCTAACAAATATTTTGTTGAAATATTCGGAAAATTCTGAACTTGAGCCAAATTTAAACTGTAAATTTTTAAGATCGCAGAGTTCTTGATCGATATGATAAAACCAGGATAAACATTTCAAAAATCCACTATTGCGAATGAATTCATCATTTTGATCCATGAAATGAATAGGTATTTTATCAAATGGTATACTCATGAAATAAGGGAAATACAGTCAACTCTCTCTAAGACGGACACCTTTGGGACCGGAACTAGCTGTCTGTCTTAGAGAGATGTCCGTCTTATAGAAAGTCAAATAGAGGGAGCTAAGAAAGGCAGGGACCAACTCTAGGTGTCCGTTTTACAGAGGTGTCCGTTAAGAGCGAGTCGACTGTATTTCACTTGAGTTTTGTCCAAATCCTAATAATTTCCTGAGCCTTTAGTTAGTTAAGTTAATTAGTTTAGTGAATTATAAGAATTTGGACAAGACACATGTGAAATTATTCCCTAATTTCACTCGTCACCATTTGATTACATATACTTATGTTACACCTCTTTGCAGTGCTACTGTAGTCTGTAGAATAACATATATGATCACATTTCATCACTGATCACACCTGTTACTTGTGATTTATACCCTATATTCTGTATTCCTTTCATTAGCATTTTTGACCTGCAGTCATGCAACCCTGATTCTCTGCTGCCAACTGTTCTTGAACGCACTCCAGGGGAGGAGGTGGATCGTGCAAATGAAGAAGATCGCCAGCTTCACAGGATACACTCTTTATTTTCCATATATCCCATTCAGCAGGTATAATTCAGGGCTCTCTTTACGGGGGCTATGTCATTATGGATATTGCTGTTTTGGGTCAATTCTGTGCTGAGGTCATTATCGGTAATAACTGTATATACTGGCAACTTATAAACTTCTTTAAAATAACGTAGCAACAGCCCTGGCCCCAGTTGTTCAAACATTGGATAGCAATATCCAGTGGATAAGTATTAGCGAATCCAATAACGTCATGCACTGGATAGAGATTTATTTGATGGATAACGTTATCCACCTTTTGAATAACTGGGCCCTGTTCATGATCATGATCTATTTTTCAGGAGGAGGGAATAGAAAAGAGAGTTCCTGCCACTATTCCTCAGGAACATTTTGGGCAGAGAATTTTGGTGAAGTGTCTTCAACTCAAGTGAGTTATTTTGTCTGGAGGTAATGTGATGTTTGCATTGTGGTAAAATACTTCCCAACACACTAATTTTCTTTTATTTTCCAACTTTAGGCTTGAGTTGGAAGTTGAACCAATATTTGCTACGATGGCTTTGTATGATGGCAGGTTGAAGAAAAAGGTAATTGCGTTTCAATGTGAAGTTTAATACACGTAGTTTAAAGCTCATCCAGACTCCATTAATATGTACTTATACCTGGCAAGAGCCTTGAGTTGGGGCAATTTTGGACAACTTGTAATCCAGCCATACATGTACTTTTTCATGGTCTGGCCGTTTGCAACGAAATTGGTCCACACAAGTCTTGAAGAAAATTTGTCCAGTGCTCAAATTTTGTTAATTGTTGAGGGCAGTTGCATCTTTGTTTAATAAGTTTATGAGCAAGTTTCCAAACAAGACTTACATCCCCAGACAAGTGAGTATAAAACGTTACTAGGTTGTAGCTATTAGTTTGAGCACGGCAAGAGCACAACATAGACATTACACCTTTTGGATTCAATGATAAGTTACAAGCCTCATCTGGCTTCTTGTGAGACGAGTGTCTTGTTGTTTCATTGTTGAGTGCTAAACATTCTGAAGACATTTGATACTTGCAGTTTCAGTTTAAGCCTCTTGCGAGACTAGAGTCTTGTCTCTTGAGACAAGACTTATGTCTCCTTAGAGGGTGGTAACTTAGTTTGGAGCGGTAATCCCATACATGTCTTTGATGTCCTCTGCCAATTATCATGTGAAATTTGGTAATGAGATGTTTGATGAAGGATATGAATTTCCCTTAATCTCTCTTTGAACTTGAATACAGAAAAGATTATCTAGATTTGATAACTTGAGTGAGGCTAATGCAATACAGTTTGAAAGGATGCAAATTCATTTTTTGCAGTGATGCTTTCACTGCGCGGTTGTCTTCATGGCTGCATGCTTAAGCTCTCCCTGATAATTTCTCCAGTCTTCATAGCCAATAATATCATGCCTGAACTGACAGACGACCAATAACATCGCGACTTAATTGACCAGTCTGCCCCAACCAGAGTTTAATACCATCAGCTGACGTGATACAACTCACTTTGACTCTAAAGATGACTGCCACTTAGCTCGCTGAAACGTCAGTCAGTGTTAACAACAGTCCTATTCAGAACGATGTCATCGGGACGATCATGCTCAACGTACAGGAGCACCCAACGTCAATTTTTGGAAAATATCTGTTCGGAAGACGATTTGAGATCTAGAATTTTTGGAACATTTGTTGTAAAATTTCTTGCTTGCCTGCCTCTCCTACGATTTTCGAACATCTACAAAATGGTATACTTGCCCATTTTTAACGGATTTTTACCCTAAAAAGGCCACCTAAAATTTTCGGGAGCCTCGAAAAGGTAAGTTTTGACCCCTATAATTTTCGGATCACTAGACTTTCAGCTAGGAAATCCGAACAGATGAAAATTTTTAGGGGATAAAAATATGCGTATATCTACCGTTTAAATGCTAAAATACGTTTAACGATGCTATGTTTAAGTGGTTTTGAACTATATTCTCGTTGGGTGCCCCTGAACGTATGGTACTTATGAAATGTTTCTGCCTTTTTTCAATCCCCACTGCTACAGATATCAGAAAATTTCCACTTTGACATGAACAGTGAGTGGTGCAGAAAACTGGTCAAAGAACACAATGCTCGCATAGATATCTCCACTCTGAGCCGCTCTGCTATATTCTCCATCACATACCCCTCATCAGATGTATTTCTTGTCATCAAGTTGGAGAAAGTTCTACAGCAAGGAGACATAAGTGAATGTGCAGAACCCTACCTGAAGGACACTGAAAATTCCAAGGTTTATACTTTTTATTATTGATTAAGTCAAATAAATGAATGGTTTAATGTATTCACCACAAAAATTACAATGATGAGTAATAACTGCACCACAAATTAAGGCCGAAACAAATTAAGGGTCAATAGATGAAAGACAAACCAAAAGCATATGGGTGTGAGAGGGTGTATCAGGAGTCAGGAACAGAACTTTCGTCCCAATAGGCCCTTTGCAGCTAGCCATTCACGTGGTACAAAACCGCCGAGCTGGAGAACAAAGGTTGCACTGGGACAAGACAATCAAAGAAAATTACCATTTAAAATTATGTATGTCTTTTGTTTGTCTTGTCCCAGTGCGACTTTTGCTCTCCAGCGTGGCGGTTTTGTACCAGGTGAATGGTTAGCTGCAAAGGACCTATTGCAACCTAACTTCCTCAAAGTAAGACAAGTTAACATCACAACATTACTGATTACAACATTGGAGGATTATAGGTCTCAAGTTTTGAAAGATGAAATTGAACAGTTTAACAAATTGCTGACTAACATGAACTGGCATGGTAAAGAGTTCCATTACTCTGCATTCCTAATGAAGTATAGACATTAACAGCAAAAGAGCAAAGAGAAAAGCGACTGGAGGTTTCCCGATATTTCGGACGGACAAGCCGTCCTTCTTCAGGGGATTTAATAAAGAATCGGAAAGTCGTTACAATTCGCCCTACACTTAATTCCATCCGTTAAACTGACGTTGACACATTAATGATTCGTACACAAAGTAGGGTTAGGGTTAGGATTAGGGTTAGGGTTAGGGTTATATATTTAAATCAAACTGATATTCATCACCAAATTCTCGGTGGTATAGGGGTTAGAGTGATGCACTCCAGATCGAATGCTCCGAGTTCGAATCCTACTCATTCTATCCTGAATTGTTTTTTCCTTAAAATTTGAAGACACTTTGACTTTTATGAACATTTCATCAAGAAATTTCATATAAGAAAAGTGAAATGTCTTGTGAGAGGAGGATGTCAGTTTGGTGGATGGAATTCAGATAGTATAGACGAGTAGTTGTAAATTTGATAGAAAGGTAATGTTCAAAAACTAAATGGCCCAATAATGAGAAACGATTGAGACAAATGAGATATATTGGCAACTGGAAAAAAAATATAAATATAATAATAAATAAATAAAAATAATTGTGTTCGTAAATTATGTTAATTATTGATGTCATATTGCCGTGTTCGGTATTGTGGCGCGTGCGCACCTGAGCTTTCTAATATCAGTGGATATAAGGCTGTTTCGAATTCTAGACTTGAAATAGAAACCGTTTCTTGAAACAAAAATAAATAAGTTATAAATAAATACTGCAAATAAATAAATAAATAAATAAATAAATAAGTAGGCAGCAATTTATTAGTGGTAGTACATCCTCAAAGTGAATCTTGTCTCTGGAGCTTCTAAGCTGTCATACACCTATTTTCACCATCTTTTTTTTTTCAAAGCTAGGTGTGGTTGTTTGGGTCATGCATTTGTTTTTTTTGTTAGCTAACGAAGCAAATGATCGTTATGAGAGCTTTATTGCGCCCCTTTTGTTTAATTTTTTGGATCAAATTGGAATTGAAAATGTTGGTTTTGCAGAAAAGGAGAAAACTGGTCAAAACCAAAAAAAATAAATGGGCCTGGGAGGGTGTGTCAGGAGATAGGAACAGAACTTTCGTCCCAATTGCAACCTAACATGGCCATGAATAGTAAAGGAAGCACTCACGCGTTTCGCACGCAAACGCGTGCGTGCTGGACGCGTGTACGCCAAAATGGTGCGTTCGTTTGGCATGTGCGTTTGCGCTTATCTCTGAGCTGCACTGTAAATGCTATTTTGTCTTGTTTTTTATCGTTTCAGCATAAAGACAAGATTCGTACACTCGCTATAGCAAACTGCGAGAGACTTGGAAAGTATCGGATGCCTTTTGCTTGGACTGCTATTCACTTGGTGGACATCATAAGTGGAAAACAAGCTAACACTGACCCAGGACCACCTCAAGAAAAGGATTCTGCAACGTCATCACTTCCAAGTCGAAGGGTACATACAATATATACCATAGAAAAGGACGACCAAAAAACAGTTGCTTGTACTTAGTAAAAAGAGTTGTGTCTCTAAATTAATCAAAATTCAAACTGTGGGAAGTTCTATTAAATTGGTTGAAACATAAAAATAACCTCTCAAAACGTTAAACGAGGGTATGAAAAATATACCAAAGGTTTTTGGTTTGTCCGACCAACACGGTGACTTCGTTGGACCACTTCTTGTGAGCGACCACCTCTTATAAGAGAGGTTAAGCATCACTTTTACCTCAAACGACGGTCGTGAATTTGTACCCCTTGACCAAGTTTCCTCTTTACTTGTCGTTTACTGTGCATTATTTCTACGCCTAAATTAGCAGTTCCACGCAATTTTTCATCCGTAAGAATTGTTTTAAGCTGTTTTTATCTGCTCATTTTCTATTTTGAGAAGTTCTCAACTTGAATCTGACGTCTGCGGTTTGAAGTATACGTGAAGCTTAAACTCTCTTTAAGCGACCACCAATCCAAAGCACCAAACTTCTACTTTTCAAAGCCCAATAATTAGTACCCCTCGTAAACGATCACCTATCTTAAGCGCCCACGACCACTCTCTGTGCTGACAGTTTTATAAATTTCCATTGTTTTAAACCTCTTGAGGGCGACCACTTGACGCAAAGTCTGATCTCTTAGTTCGCTGTTAGTGTAATTGCTACCCCTGGCCCTCTCACAATATACCACATCTGGAAGTTCGTTTTCGACTTTATTTATTAAATATAAACATTTTTGTGACTTATGTTGTTTTACAGCAATCTAGTATGGTGGACTCTCCTTCTTCATCGCTTCGTTCCAGCCGTAGCTCAGTGTACGAGAGTCGCAAGTCAATTCATTTAGCTGATGGGGCCGAGTTTGAGCCAGTTCCTGATCTGACAAATTTTAGACCAGTAACACTGACTGTCAGCAGTTTCTTTAAACAGGTAATTTTAAAGTTTTGGATCCTCTTATTAAGGGGGCTAGACTGGATTTTTAAGGGGGGGCGGGAGGAGGGGTGGGGTACCGCTAAGGTTTGAGTATTTACCACGCGGGCATTAACAAAAAGACGGAAAAAGAATACCACAAGATGAAAAAAGATAAAAATATTGTGCCTTTTCAAAAATGATTTTGTTAGAAGATGAATTGCTTGGACCGTTGGCCATCAGGCAAGTGAACCTTTATTGAAATCTACTTGTCCTTGACTACCGGACGGGGCGTTTTTCGGGTAGCCTGCTACACAGCCGTTTTTAGAGTCGTCACGCAATGCTCCTTTAGTGGAGAGGAGCATTGCGTGACGACTCTAACAACGGCTGTGTAGCAGACTATTATTTTTTCGGGGGACCTGCACATGTCCTTAACAGGGGCGTAGCCAGGATTTTTCCAGAGGTACGCACAATTTTCTGCAACAACGTTTTCATGTTTAATACATCCAGCTTACAGCTTACTACACGCTTTTTACCTCCTTTCGGGCCTTTTCTCTAAATATACCGGTCCACCAAAAAATGACGCGTGTAAGAAAGAAAACGTCTTTTGCTTTAGGAAAAAAATATTTCAAAGAAACAAATAAATGAATTGTCTGAGTAAATTATTGTGTTTTTTTAATTAATTTTTTTTCAGATAATTCCATTTTAATCATATTGATCGATTGTTTTACTATCGACTCTTTCAGGTGCGCACATGCGTACCTTGCGTAAAAGTAGCCACGTCCCTGCTTAACCTTTGCCCATTTTGTTTTATTGTTTTACTTTTCACAGGAATCTGATAAGTTAAAAGATGATGACCTGTACAAGTTTTTAGCTGACTTAAAGAGGCCTTCTTCAGTACTAAAACGGCTCAAGTGTATTCCAGGTAATTTTCAATGATTGAGGCTGAGTATCTTATGAAGAGTTTTGGAGATCGAGGCGGATAACTCCCTCCTCGTGGGTGTCCTCGATCTCCTTAAACAACTCAACCTCGTCCCAAGGTCTTCTCGGTTAACGGTGCATTAACCTGCAAAAAAGTTGCACTTTTGACGTCATCGGTTGATTGATCGCAAAATTCTTCCAAATGTGGTCATCAGTAGCTGGTTATGGTGAATTATGCGTGTGCTTTTAGCCAGTCGGAATCGGGAAAATATTTTGAATGAATAATGAACGCTTTTATCGTACTAATGATTCTCTCAGCCCAGTCTTAAAATATCATAACGACCGTCAAATCCTTAACACAAGACGGAATCTCCTTCAACATGAAGCCAGTTTTTAAAATCTGGGTTGTTTAGAGAAAGGGATCGGATGTTGATTATTTCAGATCGATGAAATGAGTTAGTTAAGCCTCAAAAAGGAGAGTGCTTTTTTTAAATTCCTCGGCTTTCTCAAGGTGTGTTTTATTTGTTTTATTTGTTTTTGTTTTGCAGAATTCTCTCATGTGAGGCATTAGTTCATTTCGGACAGCTATTTTAAATTACTTACCTGTTGTCTTGTTATTTACATCTTGTAGGAACCCTAAAGCTGGACATTTCACCTCCCGGCGACAAACCACCATATTGCTTAACCTCCGAGTTACATCAGGTACTGTATATATGCGTTATTGACAAAAAAGAAGGTCACGATGGCTCGATATTGACCTAGTTCCTTACTGCGTTTTAATGGCCGAGAAGAAGTCGAGCGGGTCCAACGCGGTAAATCCCGAGCAGGCTAGATAGGGCCATCTTGCCTGCTCGGGTAGCCAATTAGAACACAGGATTCGATTCGCAGGGCTGCAAATAACGGACAGCAGGTTGCCGGTCATGATGACCGGCCAAATATTTTTTAGCCCGGACAAACCCCGATTCTGGCCGGTCAAATAATGAATACTAATAATTTTTTTTTGCCTAAGGAATATCCAATTATGCTGGCAATAGATCGTTATTACTACATTGATGTTCACATTTTTTACAGCAAATTGGTGAAAAATGCATTCGCACGTTGTAGAGTTCCTTTCCGCGGTTTTCGCTCGTTTTAATGTTACGTTCTACCTTGAGTATCATTGCACGGCGGTGTCAGAAGTCTCTAGAGGTAAAAAGTGAAGCGTAAATCCTTTTGAAACTCCCAAGGTTGAGGAAACGGAATACACATACAGTTCAGCAAACTTTAGAAATAACGAAAAAAAACCCCAAAAAATTGGGTTATTTTACAAAATCTGCACACGCTTGTTTTACGTTGATGTTCCGAAATGAACATCGGTGAAACTTGATCTTTTTCCTTGCCTGGCATGTGATCGAAAGTCACTTCCTCAAAGAAGAATCGTCGCTGATATTTTCGGCAAAGAAGTTGATTTGCATTGGCGAGAAGTTTGTTCCACAAACAGCGTGTTGATGATCAGAAGTCAATAAATAAATTTGGGTCATCGCGCAACATTTTATCGCGAAGGGCTCAAATGTCAACAGAAATTTGCATAAAGTTGTTTACAAGAACGAGAATCTAGCGCCGCGATAGACGACGACCTTCCCTCTTGAGTAGCTTAAATTTTTATCAGACCATTCTGGAATCGAGTCTGCAAACGAGATTCATGTTCGACATAAAAGAAATTATTATTAATCGATGCGCTAACATTTATTCCCGGAGAAACACAGGACGACCTGTTGAGAATTGCGATCGATTTGCCTGAATTCCTTCGAATTCCCAAAGAAGATCACATTGCTGATTACATCAAAGCCGAAAGTACAGTACGACTTGCAACGTTGCGTTACTTTCCAACTCAGTTTGTTATTCACTTTGTTGCGTTAGATTACGACATGACGACATGAAATTAATTTATTGCGGCGTTCTTTTTCTTAGAAGGGTTTAGTGCAAAGCAGCAAAAAACGCCAAAGAAAAAAGAAAATCATTGCAGGGTTATAGAGCATTAAGCGACAACTGTATGGAAAATAAAGTGTTTGTATCCAAAAATGACCGGTCAAAATGACCGGCAAGACCGGAGTTTGACCGGTCAAGTCCGCGATCTGGCCGGACATTGTCCGTTGACCGGCCGTTATTTACAGCCCTGGATTCGTCTTGCCTGCTCGCCAATTCAGCCATATATAATAACTGAAAACGACGTACTTGAAATGTTTGAGCAGGCATCACGGCGCGAGAAAAGAAAAGGAAGGAGCTCCTTCCCCTTATCTCTATTTCACTGTGGGAGACCTCTGTGCAGGGATTGTGAAGCCATGCTATGTTAAGGTGTATCTCGAGGGTTTTTTTCTGTAGGCTAGTCGCCACTTTAGAAACCAGAAAGAGACTGGGTCGAGTTATCTTTCGCAAAGACTTCTGGGAATGTTACGAGGGACAGGACAAACAAATTGGCCAGTAGCTGAATGGCGTGTCCCCATTAACGATCCCATAAGTCTTTTCGAAGTGGCGACTTGTTACGAACTAACGTTTACTGTAACTCTTAACTCACTAAGCGCTCTTGAATGCGGGACCTGGTTTCTGTGCGGTCTCTGCGATTGCTACAATAGCTGAAGAAAGTCTGGAAAGCGATAATAATATAGAAACCGGCTTTAAAAGAGAAATTAGGAGCACCTGATCCATTGCTGTCGTAACGATCTCTGTAAACGCTAAGTTCATTGTAATCGTCGAATAGTTGTTTCAATAATGTCTGTTCTAGATCATCGCGGTCATGTACACAACTTAACCAATTGCGAAAAAGAAAGCCTAAAAAAATCATGCTTGGATCGGACTCGAACCAATGACCTATGCGATGCTGGTGCAGTGCTCCTAACCATCAAGCCAATTGGTAGCTGGTCACTTTGTGTGTTGGTAATAAACCTGTAGAAGATGTTTTAAATCTTTCCTCCGCCGTTGAAATTTCATAGTTATGTCCACTTTGATAACTGCTTTTACCAATGAACTTCTTTTTCAGTATTCCAAGCCCTTGCAGCTATTGCGTCGATTTAACTTATATCAGATGCTAAATCTTAAAGATTTTGTACAACTTTGTGATATTGTTTTATCCTCACATTACATTCAGTTGATGTGAAGCAAACTGTATTCCTTCTAGGTTAACCCATACCCTGATGGACAGGGGCGACCAACAAAAGAAATTGAAGAGTTTGCACCAAAAGAAGTGTTCTCACCTTATTTGACGTACAAGTAAGTGTAGTCGACATATGATTATGGTCGATGTTAAAGGGACTGTGTCATGGCTGTCTAGTTCCTTTTTCTTATTATTATCTCCAATTACATACTACTTATTAACTGAGAGTGAGGTCATTACAGGGAAATGTCAGACCTCGGCCTCGGCCGGCCCCCCAGCTGTCAATTGACTATAACATTGACGTTCCTAAGGATGTCCACTATCAGCTTAAACACAGCTTGTATATGCTTCTTAGCCAGTAATGCCCGGTCATTACAAGAAAACAGCCAATCAGAGCGCGCGTACTATTGTAGTCATATAATAAGTGTCCGTATTCGCAATGGAACGCAACGTTAGTGAATAAAGTACTTGAAAATAGCAAAATGGTATCTTCGTGTCAAACAAACGTGGCTACCAATATCAAACGTTACAATTAACAAGAAAAAGCTTTTGAAAATTGTTAGGCTAACAAGTTTTCAAAAGTCACAATCCCAATCCGTTTCAGTCTTCTTTAAGCTACGTTCAAACGGACGCAACAACTCCCAACATTAATGGCCCAACAATGTTGTAGACTGCAAAACAGTCGGTTTTATTTCTCAAAATCAGTAAAGAAATCGGAAAGCGTGGCGTAAGAGTCTTAAGCGCGCGAGCCTCACGAGGCATGAACAAACATCTGATAGATAAGGCTGTTGGTAGGACACAGAAAACATCCTTTCCCCTGAGCAGCAACTCCAAAGCTTCCCTCTGCTCCGATTTTAGAGCAAATCCAGGAAATCAACATCCGTCATTTTACAGCGAAAGCTTTAGGAATCTATTTATCATGTGCGGTACGGAATATCGCGAATGACTTGTTGAAAACATTATTTGACAGCTTGCATCGAAATTTAGCCACTGGGAATTGCCCGTGGCTGGGAGAAGCGGAAAATTCGAACGAAAATAACGTATGCAAAACGGCCAGTCCGTATTTTTAGGGTCTCTCCCCAGTCTCGCTCTCTGTTTTCAGCCTCGTTCAAGGCCTTTTGTTTGACTGCTCGCGCATATTTGAATACGCAAAAATACAGACTGTTTTGCAGTCTAACACTGTTGGGTGTTGTTAGAGTTTGATTCGAGGACGAGGACGACTACAAGGACGACATTTAATTTTAAGTTTTCTCACCTATTCTCTAAAGTAGACACCACTGAAAACTTCATTGAACTTTTTTCACCAACAAAGCTAGTACGCTTATTTACGTTGAAGGAGGTTAAGCCCTGTCCCGATCGCTAAATAATAAAATTTCTAAAACTGGATAACTTGTTTTTGCCTCTACGATATTCTCGCTAAAACTCTTAGTAGATTGACGATGACTACCACATTTTCCCGCCAAAATGACGTTGTTTCGTGCGCGTGCACTACTTAGTATTGGGAAAATCTGGTTCTCGTAGTCTCGCCTTATAATCTAAAGCTCTCTATTTATACCTTCTTCTATGTTACACAACTCCTTTAACCTGGGCTGCAAATATAACCGCATCTCTTCGCTACCGGCTGATTGGGATGTGTCGCGAAACGCCTTAACGACGGGGAGCGATGAGCGGCGACTGTATACGCAGACTACTGTTAACTAAAATTTACGTTATCCTGATCCTAACAACAACCTAAAGCCCCGTGCAAACGGACGCAACATTGTTGGCCAACAACTCCCAACATTTTTGGATGTTGCATGTTGCGTCCGTGTGCACACCCTGTTACATGTTGTTGTGTGTTGTTGGGAGTTGTTGCGTGTTGTTGCACAAAGTTTTAAACTGGTAAAAATTTTGAGCCTACAGCTCCCAACATTCTTTTGTTCCGAAGCGTAACGCAACAATGTTGGATCCGTTTACACAGCTCTTCAAACATTGTTGGAGCCTCTCACGTGCTTTACACATGGTCTCCAAAGTCTTAACACGGTGCACTGCAGGTCCCAAGATTGTTGGGAGTTGTTGCATCCGTTTGCACGTCACTGCCAACACGAACGCAACAACTCCTGTTACTGCAATATATGAATTATTCTCAGGTTGAAAACTATGTAACCAATTCGTTGAGCAAATGACTAAAAGCAATGATTTAAGTGAAACCTAACAAGGTTTAGAGTCCCATTTCGTTGGAGGCAAACCAATTGGTTTTTCACAAGAGTGGTCGAGGAGTCGAACTCGGGGCCACTGAGAACAATTCTTGGTAGCGGTTAGTGCAGAGCTTGAACTTGGGGAAGAGAGGGGGGCTTATTTGAGAGATGGGGCGCTTAAAAGGAAATTTACGGTATAATATCATAGGTGACGAATTGCTCCTTAATTTTGGCGCGAAATTTCAGCGTTAATTTGTAATTTCACGTGTGAAATTACAAAATTGCCATGGCAACCCTTCCGTATGTCTCAGTGTCAAGAAGGCGACGAAGTTTTAAAATGCCGTGAATGAAGACGTCAGGGCACAAAAAGACGCTTTAGAAAGCCTGAACACACAAGAGAACATCAAGAAGGATTCTAACAAGTATTTTAACGAAAAAGTCTGAAAAATTCTGAACTTTATAAGCCAAATTTAAGGTCTAAACATTTGAGAGAGGAGTTCTCGATCGATACGATCCAGGATAAACATGTCAAAAATCCAAGATTGCTAACGTAATTCGTCACCCATGATATTAATAGGTTATCAAATGGTATACTCGTGAAATTAGGGAATATTTTCACTTGCGTTTTGTCCAAATCCTAATAATTTCCCTCGCCTGAAAGCTCGGGAAATTATTAGGATTTGGACAAAACGCAAGTGAAATTATTCCCTAATTTCACTCGTCACCATTTGATTACATATACTTAACTTATATTTTAGGAACCTGCTGTATGTGTACCCACTGAGTGTGAATTATACCAGCCGCAGTTCATCAGCCAGAAACATTGCAGTCAAAGTACAGTTCCTTGGAGGGGAAGAAATGCCACCACTTGAGGTAGGATTCGTGCTCTAAGGTCCTTTACTGAAGCAATGAATTCACTAAACACTGAATAAATTATTTTGATTTTGTGTGTTTCAGTGCGTATTTGGTAAATCAAGTACCGCAGCTATGCAGTCGGAAGCTTGGTCAGCTGTTACTTATCACAATAAGTAGGTTTTTTTGTTATTGTTGGCTTTTAAATGCTAAGCCCGCGTCAAACAGTGTACTTCACAAGAGCCGGCTTTATGTCGGTTTGGGACGACTTACTTATAAAGTTCGCCTGTTTGTCTGCAGAATCGGTCTTTTCGCTCAGCAGCTTTGCAAAGCAGATTGACTTGAGTTCAGCTCATGTGAACCTCTTCTCACCCCACTCCTACCCGGCGCAAAACGCTTTCTCTCCTTGGATGAATTAAGGTTTCTGGGACACAAGGGATCAATTCAGGTCTCTGAGAAACTGCACACCTACCCATCCCCTAAGCTAACATTACCACTTACGTTTCATTTAGGGCAAAACTTTGGCTTAGGGGAGGGGTAGGTTGGCAGTTTCTCAGAGACCTAAATTGATCACTTGTGTCCCAGAAACCTTAATTGATCTAAGGAGAGAAAGCGTTTTACGCCGGGTAAGAGTGGGGTGAGAAGAGGTGACGTGTAAAATCCACACCTTTTGTAAATTGTTTCAACAACAGATTTTAAAAGTATTTTAGTTCCCTTAATAATAAAATTGACCACTTTTGATTTATTTTGTTGTTATCGTAGGGCCCCAGACTTTTATGAGGAAATCAAAATCAAGTTACCACCTAATTTGACACCAGAGCACCATCTGCTGTTTACGTTTTACCATATCAGCTGCTCAACAGGAAAAAAACCCGACGAGAAAGGACCGACTGAAACTCCCATTGGATACACGGTATACAATAAAGCCTGCGAAAACAGCCGCTCCTCGCCGCTGGGAACGTCTCGCGAGGAGGAACGTCTGCGACTCAGCGACAGAAATTTCATACTCATGACGTAAATCAATATTTACATAATAAATCCGGTAGTCATGGGGTTCCGAATGCACATTTGTTCGATTTAACGTTTCTCCTGGTCGATTTTGGTTATTGTGTTCATTTGCGAAACTCAAATGCTAGCGCTAGAGAAGAATATATTCCAGAAATATTGACTGTTTTGTTATAGATTCATCGCGTTTACATTTGACCTTTGTAGCCTTAGGTCTTTTGTCTGTCATTCGTAAACAATAGCTAAAACAATGTAACTACTCCGTCGACCAATCAGCGCTTCTGACCGGATTCCGGACAGATTTTACGTCATCAGTATGGAATTTCTGTCTCTGAGTGGCAGACGTTCCTCCTCGAGCAACGTCTCCAGCGGTGAGGAGCGAGGAGAAACGGCTGATTTCGCAGGCTTTATATGAACTTGAAAAAACATTCATGATAGAAATGTTCACGAGAAGTTAAGGCCCCGTTCACACGGAAACGCTAAAGCAATGTAAATACGATAGCATCCCTTTCGGAGCATGCGTCATGCTAGAAGTATATCATGTATGACATCATCGTATTCGAAAACCTCCACTTTCGTCCGTCCACACGTTAACGAAAAGCCGGCGTTTTCGGTGACCATTTCACTGGATACGTGTGGACGGTAGGCCAAACCGGAGAAAGAAATATCCCTTTTGAAACGAAAACGGATACGTGTGGACAGGGCTAGCCTGTGTACAGACCGCTACCCCCTCGCCTCAGGAAAAATCGGAGAAGGTTTCCTAACGGGAGGGGGAGGGGTCTGTACACAGGCTAGGACAGGGCCTAAGTCAATCAATGATCATTACAGTAGGAATTCAATTACATTGTAAGCTGTTCTGGAAAGACGCCTGAAACAAACAAACTCCAATGATCAAGATAAAATTATAGTGATCATGCAGTAACAATTTTTTCCACTACACTCATGCCTTTTTGATGTCTCACTGTAGTGGACACTCTTGTCCAACAGAACCCTGCAACTTCACAAATTGTATTGTGTGTAATTCGCGCTCGATAATAAGGATCTATTTGGACTAACTGGCGTAAAGACGCGTGTTGTTTTTTTGTTTGTGTTCAACTGCTCAGGGTCGGCCAGGGTTTTTGGGTATACGGTATACAGGGGCTTTTTAAATCGGGTATACGGTATATTGCAGCTTAAATACGGGTATTCGGTAAATCACTTTCTTTGAATTTCAGGTATAAAGTATACCTGGGTATAATTTTGGGTATATTTGGATGAATTTGGGGTATTTTTGGGTATTTTGGCGAATTTTTTTCGGGTATACTGGTATACCACTACCCCCCCTGGCCGATCCTGACTGCTGCTTTTGTCGTTTTATTTTTCTTAAACAGTGGATTCCTGCTCTGAATGAGGGACGGCTATCCCTGGGTGAATTTCTTCTTCCTGTTTCGTTGGAGAAACTACCTTCAAGCTATAGCATGCTCTCTACAGAGGTAACAGAATGAAAGTCTAGTTAGTTGTTAATTGTTGCCTATTACTATAAAAAAGTGCTGTGTGCGGATAAGGTTTCATTTGAATGGTCAAACGATTAGATTTTATCCACTGACTCAAAGTCACAACTGCGTACGAACTGAATACCGTATCCTCTCTCTAATAGCCCCTCATTTGTTAGGGGAAGGAAGAAAGTTATTATATACTCCCTCTCATTCTTTAGTAGAATGTATTACCTTCTCACGACTGTGACACTTCGTGTGGACTGGTCCGATATGATTTACTCACGTACTGGAAATTCGACGTTGTTTTGGATCTTCGGCTGAATGACCTCCAACTTCTTGAGCCTGAGTTTTTCCACTTGTCTAGTTCTTTATAAATAAATGATATCACCAGCTTCGCTAAATTAAATAAGGATCACCTCTTTTAAATAAGCCCCCCGCAAATGTGCTTGAAATAAATATTCCCCGGGGGTTCTAAAGATACGGAAAAACGGGCAACAAGAAACTGTGCAACTTGTCTTGCAACATTGCTGCAAAACGAGTTTAATGGTGATGTTGCGCGTTTTACCACCCACATCAAACCCGTCTTGGAACAAATCAGGTTGTTAACAGGTTTGAACGTGGGTGGTAAAACGCGCGACATCACTATTCAACTCGTTTTGCAGCTATGTTGCAACACAAGTTGCACGTTTTTTGTTGCCGTTTTTCGGTACCTTTAATAGAGGATTAACGATGGTATCATGTAAAACCACTGCTGAGGAGGTTTTATTTGCCTGGTCACGCAAGTGAGATGCCATCATAGTTGACTCTGTGATTGTAGTGCTTGTTTTCACTTTAAGCCTTAACGAATGTATTGTTACTGCTTTATTTCGTTTTCAGGTTCATCTTCCCGGGATCAAATGGATGGAAAGTCACAAGGGAGTCTTCAACGTTGCTGTTAGGGCGGTGTCTTCTGTTCACAATCAAGTACGAAGAATGTTTTTCAATCTCTTGATCCCTGCATTCGTCTTTAAAACTTTTCATTTCAAAGGCCTCTTTTTGCAGCTGGGTGAATTCGTTTTTTACTAGTGGGAGCCTCTGTGCTTTAGAGATTCTTCAAAAAGTTAGTACAAAGACTTGCAATCTGTGAATGAAAATGCAAAAGAGCGTGCTTAGTCTCTGATTAACATATTTCACTTCGATTTTGTTGACAAAAAAGCTCAAACGATGGGTGTGGCGTAACGAAGAAAGCAGATCTACAATGGAAGACAAAAATCCTAGGAACGGTTATGGAAAACCTTCCTTCCACATCCTTAACTTATCAAATTTTCAGATGTAGCATAATATATACTTCTCTAACCACTTGGATACCGCGACTGGCCCTCCCCTCCCCCATCCAAACAATGTTGGGATGAAGAAACACTTTTAGGACAGGGTAAAGTGTACAGGGGTGCACAAATTACAACATTGCTTGGGGGCGAGGGGGAAAGGGGGAAAAATTAAGGCAGATCGTGTTAATTGTCCTAAGAATTTTGTACTCCATTGTAGATTTACAACTTCGCCAAGACTTCCTGTTTATTGTCTTGAGGAACAAGACATGTATTTTTAAAAGTCAGTATGGAGAGAATTAAGGGAGCATTATTTCATTATTGTTTTTAGGATCTACACATTCACAAATTTATGAAGACCTGCCATCAAATCGAAGGACGTGTCACATCTTCTCCCAGCCGAAGCACAGAAGGAAATCTAGAAACTCTGTTAACAAAAAGCATCGTGAATCTATCCAAAGCACAAGAAGAACCTTTGGTCAGGTTCTTATTCCTTGTTTTGGACAAGCTCATTCTGCTTCTTGTCAGGCCACCCGTTATATCAGGAACCATAGGTATGAATAACAAAGTCTTTGTTAGAAATGTGACGGTGAATTTTCAGCCTGGTCAGTGAAAGAGAAAGATGTTTTTTGACACAGATTCATATTCTGAAAACAATTCATTTTCAGTCAGTGACAAAGCGAGCTCGGAAGAGTCTGGTTTCCACGAGTTTTCTGTAGCTCCGTAGTAGAGCATCCGCACGAGTAACCAAAAAACAACATCAACAAATTTTATGGAAATTAAATATATAACTACGTACATTACTTTCCTACCCGCAAATAACTTATGAACTAATCGAGGCGGGGGGAGCCATGCAAGGACATGTTACAAATACAAGGTTTATCTATAGATGGACTAAACAACAGTAAAGACACCACAATACAATAAATAGAAAAAAAACTAACATAAAACAAAGAGAGTAATAGCAATTGCAAAGAGAGACTAACATAATAAGACGGGGGACTTCAACATAATCGTCTTCTGACCGCAAGAAATTTAATAATAATTCCTTTATCCTTTTACAAAAAGGTGATCGCTTGAGCAATTTGATCGAATAAGGAATAGAGTTCCAAATTTGACAACTGATTCTCGTCACGTGAAAAAGGCAGACGCTTTTAGCCAGGAATAGGACTGCTTGCGTTCTTGGAGAAAGATGATCGTAAATTCTAACCGAAGACAATGAAGACCCTTCTGGTGGACCAACGGCAACTGGGTTTTTATTGCTAATGTCTTTCCGATGAGACATTAGAGATTCCTTGACCAGCCATCTCACTAATCCGCAGACTATAGGTTTTAGATTTCCAGCGCTGTTTCTTTGCGGGACACGATGGGCTGTGACTATATCTTGGATTGATATATCCGCGGTCTTCCATTTCTTTAAACAAATTTACACAAAGCAGCGTGCAAAGAAAGTAGTGTTCGATAGCCCGGGGCTAGCGGATTTTGCTATCGGGCTAGTGAATTCTGTTATTAACTTGCCCAACGGGCAAATGAAGTTTTTTGAGGATTTCAAATTACAGAAGAACTGTGAAATCAATGTGCTCATCAGAACGTTTTTGGGGCTAGTTGAAATGATGTTTGGGCTAGTAAATGTTAGCTTCAGCTTGCCCGAATGGCAAGCTGTAAAAATGACTTTCTTTGCACCCCGACAAATCCTACTTGTTATTGACGGGACTCGCCTCGGGTAACCTACGATTTTGACCTTGTATTGAAAGCTGTATTCTTGGAATTCATCGATTGCGTTGCCAATCGCGTCCACCTTGGCCTTGACCTCTGTGAGTTGTGCACTTAGGCGTGGCAGCCCGTTGATGGCAAGCGAAGAAATTCATCATATTCCTTGCTTAGGAATTCAAGACTAAGAGATGCTTATTTAGCAGAAGGGACAACACCGCTGCTTTGTTGTTAAATTAAATCTTTTAGTCTTGAAATCTCCTCCGTCAAAGATCACAGGTGTCACTCTTGTTGGAAGTGCAGGGGTCTTTTTCCGAGCTCCTATTAGACAGCTTCAGATTCGAGGACGAGGACGACTACAATCACGAGATTTTTGAAATGCTGAGTATTGCGCGCACGTGAACCAGCATCATTTTGGCGGGAAAACGTGATAGCCGTCGTCATTCTACAACGGGATTTAGCGAGCATGTCGTAGTGGCGGGATCAAGTTATTAAATGTGAGAAGTTCTTTCACTCTGCGATAGGGAGAGGGCTTAACCTCCTTCAGTATAAATAACCGTATTAACTTTTTTGGTGGAAAAAAAGAAAGGAAAATGAAGCCTTCCGGGGTGTCTTTTTTTGAGAACACGCGCAAAAACTTTGTACTCGTACTCGTTTTCATCCTCAAATCTAGAGCTCTCTAGTGTCACTGACTAAAGAAACATCTTTCTCGAAATCTTTGTTTCTTTTAACACTCGGTAAACTTGACTTGCCTAGCCGCGCCCTCTTCTCACGTTCAGTTCAGCGTGCTGCCTCAAGATAGTGGGTATTTGCTATTGAGACGCGTGCGAGATCTAAAGTGCACGAGACAAGCTTTAAGCTCGCTGTAGCCTATACAACAGTTTCGCCATGTACTTCTACAGGGGCGGATCTAGGGGGAGGGTGCAGGGGGTGCGCACCCCCTCCCCCCGAGATGACCTGCGGTTTTCTAATACATCTGTTATTCTGCAAAAAAAAAAACTATGTGTTTTATTGGTGTTGAAGTAGAGCAGGAGACGAGTGCACCCCCTCCTAAAAAGAATCCTGGATCCGCCCCTGTTCTATTCCCCGTTGATTTAGTTGAGGGAGACTATTTTTGAATGTACTGATCTCGATCGTGAACATTTGTTCGACATTTATTCAGAAAGATTGAGAAAGCAGTTCGATTTCACGAACCTGCCGTCATGCAGCGGAACACGCACGTGCACGAGAGTGCAGTTGCAGGTGGAAGCGTTAAGTCTTGGGCATTCCATAGGAAGTCCAAGAAATTAGTCAGTTTGCTGTTTTTACGCGTGAAGGGTTAGTATAACAAGATTTTAACGTCACCAATTATACTTCTTTAATTTATAGTTAACATTGGCCAAGCAGCTTTTAAATCATTGACGCAGATTGTTCACCGGCTTTATCAGATGCCAGAAAACAGCCAAGATGAACATGGCCGTAATCATTTACTGGCTTCTTACATAACTTATGTGTTCTCGGCTCCTTTTAGCCATTCACCGTCAGCTTCTCCAGATTATTATCCAGGTAAGGTAACTTAAAAAAAAGATACCATTGAACATGCAATTATTCAATTGATTACTGTTTTGTTTATGATCCATCAGCAGTGATTTTGTTACAAATAGTTATGGTGAGTCCTGGGACTCATTTCGTGAAAAATCATGATTCATCCGCTGACCAGTTTCACATGCCTGCGCGGGCTCAGGTATACAACTCATGCAAGTGATGTAATTTTTAAGTTATCCGCTGACCAGTTGTTCGTTTTTAATTGATCGCGGGCGCAGGTCAATTTTTTTAAAGGTAAATATCAGTTTGATCTCTGCTTATGGCCAAAATATAATTAATCGAGGAAGACATTTCCTAAAGCATCCTTCGAGAGCTTCGCTTTTGGCCTTGGCTAAATCTATATATTAGCTTTTAGGTAGAAGGCACTTGATTTTCTGGAAAAATTTCAGCACTTTTTATGATGTGGCGTTCCGTGTTTAACTGTCAGAGGACCGACGTGAGATAAAGATAGAGAAATAAAGGCCAGAGACCTATTATTTAACTTGTACACAAGTTACATTTCTTGCTATTAATGTGACTGCGTGATGCAGTTAAGGTGACTCGACCCAGTTTTTTTTAGGGGGTACCATCCTACTTTGAAGCTCTCTGGTATCCCCACCTTTACTTTTATCGTAAGTATAACACAGAGAATGGATAACATATAGATCAATCTACAATATAACATAAAATCTTTGGCGATCGGAGTAAATGTCACGTGGTTATAATGCCACGCCCCTTTGAGGTCTGAGTCCAAAATCTGCTGTTGCCAGCATTTTTTCGTGAAAATCTCTCGGCTACACATAGTGCGCATTAGTGCCTTGCGCTGAACAGAGTTTCACCAAAATCGCAAAGACCCAATTCGAGAAATTCGGCGGTTTCCAAATTTAGGTCATAATTTATTCGAAAATGATAAGCAAACTTTACACGGATTATATCTAATAAACTATGAGATTCATCTCTGTATTTTGGGCATCCTTATAACAGATGGGTCCTTGCAAGTCAGCAAAACGCTTTAGGGCCTTGTAAATGCGCGCGATTTCGAGCAAAGCAAACATATAGAAATTATAGTTTTCGCTATTTGTTGACGTTTGTCAGCGTTTAAGAGTCAATCTCACGAAAAAAGCATTTTCTTAAAAATTCGTAGTTTTTTTTCCTTCAAATTTTTTCAGGGCCACAATTGATTAACTAACTACCCGGACTCTGAATTTCATGGTCATTGAAAAACTGTGACATTATCTTCTATAAGCTCAAACTTGAGTAAACATTGAAGATTTTTAGCGTTTTGGCTGAGTTTGTGCTTTGGGAGTTGTCTATTGTTTCTAGTCTGTCATTATACAGCATTCTTGTTCAGCACGCGTGCAATGACCGCGCTCGGCTGACTTCCGAATGCTCACCGAGATATTACAAATTTGGTACAGTGAGACAGGCCATCGCGTGATACATAGAGGTTTAACTAACAATTTTTAATCAATTCTCGTGCTTCTTGTGTCTTTGCAAAAAAATCAAGAAGTGCTACACACTAAGTCTGCTTACTATTACAAAAATATCATTTTTTCATAGGTTTAATGCAAGCCAATAATTAAACCAACTCGTGAAGGGAATATCTCGGTGAGCATTCAGAAGTCAGCCAAGCGCGGTCATTGCACGCGTGCTGAACAAGAATGCTGTATAATGACAGACTAGAAACAATAGACAACTCCCAAAGCACAAGCTCAGCCAAAACGCTAAACATCTTCAATGTTTACTCAAGTTTGAGCTTATAGAAGATAATGTCACAGTTTTTCAACGACCATGAAATTCAGAGTCCGGGTAGTTAGTTAATCAATTGTGGCCCTGAAAAAATTTGAAGGAAAAAAAACTACGAATTTTTAAGAAAATGCTTTTTTCGTGAGATTGACTCTTAAACGCCGACAAACGTCAACAAATAGCGAAAACTATAATTTCTATATGTTTGCTTTGCTCGAAATCGCGCGCATTTACAAGGCCCTAAAGCGTTTTGCTGACTTGCAAGGACCCATCTGTTATAAGGATGCCCAAAATACAGAGATGAATCTCATAGTTTATTAGATATAATCCGTGTAAAGTTTGCTTATCATTTTCGAATAAATTATGACCTAAATTTGGAAACCGCCGAATTTCTCGAATTGGGTCTTTGCGATTTTGGTGAAACTCTGTTCAGCGCAAGGCACTAATGCGCACTATGTGTAGCCGAGAGATTTTCACAAAAAAATGCCGGCAATAGCCGATTTTGGACTCAGACCTCAAAGGGGCGTGGCATTATAACCACGTGACATTTACTCCGATCGCCAAAAATTTTATGTTATATTGCAGATTGATCTATATGTTATCCATTCTCTGTGTTAGACTTACGATAAAAGTAAAGGTGGGGATACCAGAGAGCTTCAAAGTAGGATGGTACCCCCCCAAAAAAACTGGGTCGAGTCACCTTAAGCCTTAATGTGTTGCTTGTGTGTGACTGCGAGAAAGTGGCATTGCTCGCCAACGACTCCTCAGTAGTTCATCCAAACACGGAGGGTTGTGTGTTCGAATCCCATCTGGGGATCAGATTTTTTCTGTGTCCTCTTATGGTTGATTCTTTATATCTCCGTTTATTATGTAATATCAGTGTCATAGGTTGGTTGGTTGAGGGCTTCTTCATAGGTAAGACAAGAGGCAATATCTACAAAATATCTGCGATGCCGTTCTCTCGCTACATGAACTCGGTCATGTGATCGTCATGCAACTTCCCATAATCGACTTGACTGATGGAGGCTGAAGGACTCAGCCGGGTTGGATTTATTGTGTTCTAGTCAAATCAGTTCAATTTTTGTTGGATAAAGGAGGACCAGGATTTTAGATCATTTTTAAAGGCTCCCTTTCTTTTTAGGCGAGCCAGGACGTTCCACAAGTATTCCAAGGCAAAGCAAAGCTCGCCAGAAAATGTCAAGCAGCAATCCTCAGCTGAATGCAACATTAAGTGAAGAGCACAACGAGTCGCATGGATCTGGTAAATGGATAAATGACGAGCAGGAGATTGATGAAGGACTGACAATACCTGGAAACAGAAGCAGCATGGCCGAGGCGCGCGCTGGCTCCCTGAATGTCCCTGGGTTGGGACCTGGTGGCAGTAGTAAAAAGGTATGAAATAGGCCACTTCCGAGTTCCAAAAACCCTCACTTTCAAAATGAGGCTAGGTGCACAACCTTTTTTTCTGAAAATGAGTTTTATTTGCGTGGAAATGAAAAATGATTTCCATATCAGAGGCTGAACACCTACCCTCGTTTTGAAACAGAGGCCCGGGGGAACTCGGAAATCGCCTATAAAAGGTTTTTTCACCGCCACAGAGTAAATAGGTCAGTCGCCACCAATTCCAGCCCGTGGTTCCTCGAAAGATGGTTAATTTTAACCGAGGATTTAAGCCAAATTTTAAGTATGGTTTTCTTCTCTAAGAACATGCAATACGTTTGAGCCTTTACTCCGAGATACAGTAATAATAGCACAAAATGTTATTGTAAGCAATGCATAGCAAGGTAAATACAAAAATGAAACAAAATTTTAATCCTTGATTTGCGCTAATCCTCCTCTCAGGAAGCGGGCCCAGATCTCTGGAAAAACCTGCCCAGAGACATTAGCGGCCCCATTCTCTATTTAGTTTAAGCGCAATCAAAGACATACCTTCATGACCACAAATAAATTACAGTCCAGTCTGAAAATGAGATATAATTTGTTATAGGTTCCTTCTGCCTGCGAACAGAGCCTCCTTTTTGAGGCTGTCTTGAGTGAGGAGGAGAGAAGGAGTCTCTCCCTGAATCGTGCCTTTGCCGAGGGCCGGACTTCTATACTAGTCAATCCTGTTATCTCTCGTCAAACCTGTTTTCCGAATTCGAACATCCGACTTAGCGCACAGCTATAAGGCCTGGGTTCGATACTGTATCCCAGCGAAAAAAAGCAGCACATGTTCAAAAAAGGACTTTCTCGATTCACGCAGAATCTTTCTCGAGTACGCGGCCAAAAAACGAGCAAGCGAAAGAAATGCTCTGGGTGAAATTCCTAAACGATGACCTCCCAACATCGTTTTTTATTTTGTTCTCAAGTTTTTGGTTGTTTTTCTTTTGTATTACTACGTCGCTAGTGGAGGTGGGTGCCTGGGATGTCCAGGGGCTTCCACCTTTGGCACAATCAGCCCCTAGACAGAGTTACGCTCCCAAGGCTGGCAAACCCGCCCTCCTGCCATGAGTCCCCACGCCAATGGAACCAGGAGCCTGTCACACTGATTTATCAGTGGAAGAATAACGGGGTGGGGGGGGGGGGTAAAAGAATGATCCAAAGGCTAAACGAAGAGACTGGCCGCCAGGAAAACGCTGTACTGAGCACAGGGAGGTGATGCAAGCAAGGCAGACCACTCTTGAGCCAAACGACTGACCGTTGACCACGCCCTCCCTCCTTGTTGTTGACTGTGTTAAATAAATATTTTAACTTCATTTATATTGTTGTCTTAAATGTTTCAGTTGGTGCACGAGGAGCTAGCACTACAGTGGGCAGTGGCTAGTGGACACTTGAAAGAAACAGCAATGGCGCATGCCTGGTTTTTCTTTGAGCTTATGGTAAGATCTCACGTACCACATGCGTCCGAACCCTTCCACAAAGGCCACCTTGGGATAGAGTCGGTTCTTGAGTGAATGAGGACAGGTGGCCGTTAGCCCTTGCAACAAATGCAGACTGCAGACTTGCAGACGCAAGGTAGAAAAGCATTGTTGTGAAATGAACCCAAAACTATCCCTTTAGAGAGCATTTCACAACACTGTCATTCTGTTAACTTACCAGTCTGCAAGTCTGCAGTCCGCATTTGTCGCACACCGGCCTTTAGGCTTGACTGTTCAGTTACTTCTTTCAATTCGTCAGTTTAGAAACGAGACGAGGACTGGAGCCGAAATGTGTCTCGCAAGTGTTTCTGGGATAGTTACTGAGGACGCGCCATAATCAAATGTGTTATCCCCACAAAATGTGCATGATTTTTTTTTTCTTTATTGACAACAAATCAACAACATTAATACACAGCAGAAAGTAAAAGAACAAGTAAGTAAATAAATATGTCAGCAAGTAACAAAACAAATTACTATAAAAATGAAAAGTATTGGAAAAAAACAAAAAAACCTGTCAGTTGCCACACATATTTAATATTGTTTGCCACAATTTTCAATGCGATATTGTTCAAAAAGCTTACGTAAAAATTCCTCTAAATTAGGTTTCGTTACAATGTTCTTGCAAGTATACAAGTATTTCTTTTGTAGTAAAACAAATAGACGAAGTTTGCGCATGAAATGTGCATGATTATTGTTGTCCAATTTCTCTTGGGGATGATGGTCGTTTCTTGAGAAATTGAAAATAAAACTTACGCAAAATTTTGAGGGAGAAATTTCATTTTGGGGAAGATGAAGGTCGCAGACAGTCCCCAAAAACATTTCCAGAAGTCTTTGGGAACTTTAACTCACTCCTTTCTCCTTTTCGTTCTAAAGTGGCGGATGGCGCGTGTCAATCTTAAAGTTAGAAAAAGAAAAGTACACACTCCACGCGCGATTTTTCTCATTAAGGTACTTCTTGCTTGATACTGGGGCTCTGCGGCTGCCGTTTCGTGGTTTGTCTTTTTCGGTTGGCTGCTGTTGTTTATTAAATTTCCTTGTTTCTTCACAGTTTAAAAGCATGGCTCAATATCTTGAAAACACTGACAAGTTTTTCTGGATAAGAAAGACTCGTTTTCCTGATCAGTTCTTGGGTGACATACGAGCTATGGTGAACTCAACAGTGGCTGAAATCATTGCTAAACTTGAGGTGACCATTTTTATTTGTGTGGATATTTTTGGTAAGATATAGAGGATATCACATGGCCACGCGGAGATACAAGATTTATCTTCGCGTGTTGAATAATATTTCACGAGTGAGCACTGCGAACGAGTGAATATTTTTCAACTCGAGAAGTGAAATTTCGTATATCAGGGATGACAAATTACGCTCCGGACAATCGTAGGTTTTTGACATGTTTATTTAATTGATGATCGATAGAGAACTCCACGCACCGAAAACTTTAGAGCCTAAATTTTGCGTTAAGTTCAGAATTTTCAGAATTTTTCGACAAAACACCTGATAGAATGCTTTTTGATGTGCTCTTTCGTGTATTTAACTTTTCTAAAGCGTCTTTAATGCCCTGACATCGTCATTCATGACATTTTAAAACTTTGTCGCCATGTTTGCGCTGACACGTACTGAACGTTGCCGTGGCAAGTTTTTGTGAAATTTTTATATCTTTTCGTTTTGTATATCTTAACGCTGAAATTTCGTGCCAAAATTAAGGAGTCATTTGTCACCCATGATATTAATCCCATAATAAAGGGACTCGTTCCTAGCCCCACTCCGTCTGAAATAAGGCAATCGGGGGCGTTTTAGATGTCACAACGGATTTGTTTTTCCGCAGTTCATATGTCTCACATCATCCTCATTCTAAGCGATAATTCTGTTTATTTGCAGGATTTTTCTCTTGCTCAGAGGCTGAACTCTAGTCTGGCCTTCTTTTTGTACGATCTCTTTTCACTGGTTGACCGAGGATTTGTTTTTGAGCTAGTCAGGCACTACTGTAAAGAGGTATGACTAGATTTCCTCCTTTTGATTGGCCAGAAAATATTAGGCCAATTAGAAGTAGGGATTTCAACTGCTTAAATGTTTGTTCGTGTTGTGAGTTTTAATTCTGTTCCATACATATTGCAATGAATTCATGACTTTTGAAGCTTAATTAAAAACCAATAAATGCAAAACTTATTTTGATTGTCACTGATACGTAACTTGTTTTGAAACGCTTTTTTTATTCCGATTGCAAGCCCTTTCCCGGGATATTAGCCCTCCCCTCGGATATAAGCCCTTCCCCCGGTTATTAGCCCTTTCCCCGGATATATTAAAGCCCTTCCCCCGGTTATAAGCCCTTTCCCCAGATATTATCCCAGGGGTACGTTTCTCGATAGTCCTGGTAACCTTTCGGTCCCGGAAAGCTGTACAACGTTTTAAAAGATTTGAAAATGATACAATAAAACTATCAGTAAATGAAACAAAATTAGCTGGTGTGTGAGCTAGGAACTGTGCTAGCATACAACTGGTTTTGACTTTAAATTTTGCCCTCGGGGCCGAAAAGTAACGGACTTTCGAGAAACGGGTACCAGGCCTGTTTATATGCCCTCCTAAAACCCCTTTCGAAGTTGTACAATAAGCCCAAGGCTGATAAGCGGAAGTTTACGGTATTTTCTGGAGATTTTCACGAGACTAGAACACCCTTCATTTACGATGTACTTCGCACAGTTGGTGGTATTACCATTAGCTCGTTACAGATGCTAGTATTTCTTTTTTCGCTTTAGATGCTGTATCAGGCTACTATTGATCCAGCGGCGTCACAGCTCAGACTTGAATTTCTCAGGATTGTTTGCAGCCATGAACATTACGTGACCCTTAATTTGCCCTTCCCAACTCCTTTGTACCCGTCCCCACCCCCATCCCCCACGAATTCAGTTTCATCAATTGGTTCTGCCATGTCAAGCTACACTGTGATAATAGGCAACAGCATGGCGGAGTTGTCCACTGCGTTTAGACAGCAGCATTTCCTTGCTGGCTTGATCTTGTCTGAACTGGCCTTGGCTTTGGAGGGAGGGTGAGTTATTTTGTTTCACTCGATAGACTTAAAGTTCTCGTTAGCGGACACCTTTTGACCCGGGAGGGGAGGTTGCTCCCTTATATAAGCCACATATGTATGTGTGTGCCGCCCCAAAGGGTAGGGTTTTTGCGCCGGTTTGTTCTGAACACGGGTATAGACTTGGCCCATTTGAGTTTGGAATCGGGTTTGGTTCTGGAGGGAACTCGTAAGAATGTATGAACGTATTCATTGTTTCAGTTCCAAATAAGGTAGAAAAAAAAAGAGAAATATGCGAATACGAAATGGATTTTAAGAAATCTTTTTTTGTTCGTGTTCTAATCTAAATAATGGTGAAATAATTTCCTAGAGGCCAGGTCTGAAAATGGGTATGGATTTTAGAGGCCAGGTCTGAAAACGGGTGTGGAAAATGACATTTTTTGGTCTGAAATAGGGTCAGGATTTGGAGAACCGGGCGGCACACCCCAACAATAATTCGCGGGAGTACCCCTCCCCCTGACGTATTTAAGCATCCGTAAGCGGACATCCGAAATAAAACCTCATTCGCTTGTGAATCTTGGATTTGAATAAGTCAACTTCAAATCGTTGTTCGTCGCAGTGAATTTATATCCGTTTTAGTGTTTGTCTCTTTTCACATACACATCTGGTAACACTTCAAAACATCACTAGAATTTTATGCTTGTGACTGAATTACAACATCAACAGTATCACATTATATTCAAATTGACACTAACAAACAGCCCGTAAAGCGACCTTGTAACCCTTACACCTTTACTGGCCACTTCTGAGAACCGGCTCTAGTTGCGGACACCTTCGCGTCTCGAGGGTGTACGCTTACGAGGGTTTCCACCGTAGCTATCAAAAAATACGCTCAAGAAGTTTTAAATACGTCAACACAGTATCGTTGCTTAGTATGCAGAATGAGAAGAGAATTAGATGCAACTAAGCCTAAAAGTTTCTCTAGGCCTAGAGGGGGCGGGTGGCGGGATGGGGGTGGATTTGGGGAGTTTATTCTAGTATAGGGTAGCAAAATTCGGCTGAACTACCTCTCGTATAAACTAAGGGTTCCAGGGTCCCAGCAGCACATACCCACCCAAGGGGTATCGCCTAACTTCTATTTGGATTTTTAGGGACATGACATTGATTAACCAAGCTATTGACACTACACGGGACCTCATTGCCTGCCACGACTCAGACACCCGTTACGATGATGTAGAATGTCGATCTTCAGTAGCAGCCCTCTACCTGCCCATTGTTGGTCTGGTTATCGGTGCACTGCCTCAGCTGCATGGGTATGGAAGTGAGGATAACTCAAGTATAACTCCAGATGTGGCAATGGCCATAGCTACATCAAGTATAACAACTCTGATGAGCTCTGATGAGAGGAGTGACATTGCGTCGCAGGTTATTTATATGCACTAGTTTTGTAAAGCCTTCGAGACAAGCTTTAGGGGAAGTGACCTGCGAGCAAGCTCTTTATTTTTGGGAGTCGAAAAAACTGAAATCGTGGGTGAGCGGCACGCGAAATAAGACGCGAGAGTTCGCGGCTCGCTTCGCTCGCCTCTCGTTATGGAGATCTTGCTCGCAGGCTATAGGGGAAGGAAAAGGAGCAATTCTGGGATCTTACTACGTTTCTGGGAAACTGCCCACCTACCCCTCCCCTAAGCCAACATTTTGCAAGTGAGAAGTAAGTGTTAATGTTGACTTAGGGGAGGGCTAGGTGGGCAGTTTCCCTTCTCGTGTTCCTTAATTTTTCCCTCTCCAGTCCCGTTTTAACGCCTACCATGCAGCATACGCATGCCGGATCATTATGCTGGGAAACTGCCCACCTACCCCTTCCCTAAGCCAACACTTTGCCCTAAGTGAGAAGTAAGTGTTAATGTTGGCTTAGCAGAGGGGAAGGTGGGCAGTTTCCAAGAAACGTATTATGATCCGAACAGACACAGATTTTGCTTGGTGAAAATTTTATTGGTGCCGTTGTGCGTGGTCTACTGCCACACATAACCTCTTATACGGATTCATAGTGAGACTAATATGTCAAGGGTCGAACGCTAATGCACGATCGCTGTGATAGCCATCACAAAGTGTCCTCGTGAGCAAAAGTTGGCATAAATACTTATGACAAAGTATGAAAATGTTAAACAACCCAAGCAAATATGTACGCCAATTTAAACGCAATACTGCGTTCAGTGGTAGACAAAACTGTCAATACTTGGAAGATCATCGCATTTGGGGTCGATTTCCGACGTGCGTAAATATAATAGGGGCGATGAGTTCAAGGTCGCATGTAAACGTAAAAGCTGAACCTCGCTCAAGTCTTACTTTCTCAACTTTTACCTTGGTAAACTGAGATTACCCTGTGCGTCAAACAATAACATGCTTTGAACAGCCTCTTCTTTTTCATTCTGAGCTTACTTTTTAACTCGTGGGTACGCGCGAGCGTATCACGAGTTATTGCAGGGACAGGGATATGCAAATGAGTCACTCGCTCACTCGTAGTAGACGCACTTCGTAATTAATCGGGTCCGAACTCGAGAGCGCGAAGATCTATCGTTTCCAAAAAAGCACGCGCTCGCCGAAGTTCGGTGGCATCAAATTCCTCGCTGACAGCGCGCATCGTGCGCTACAGCACGGTTAGAGGATAGAGGTCTTACCAAGTTTAAGACACGCAGGAATCTTTCAGATTAGTACGATTCAAGAGCCTTTGACTCGTCCAGGCGTTAAACTTGACGAGAAGATGAGCATTTGCTCTCCGACTCCTTCAACTTCGACTTCTCCTTCAACTTCTTCTTCTTCTTCTTCTTCTTCTTCTTCTTCTTCTTCTTCTTCTTCTTCTTCTTCTTCTTCTTCTTCTTCTTCTTCTTCTTCTTCTTCTTCTTCTTCTTCTTCTTCTTCTTCTTCTTTATAAGGACTCCCCAAGATCACGGGGGGAAATGGATGTGATTTTGAGCATTAGCTTTAAAATAACAGCGGAAATCGAGATAAGAAAACATAAGCTTATGTTTTGCGTCTTACTTCGCGGAGGAGTTGTGTCGGCTTTATATCGCATATGTTCTTTCATTGCCATGAAATGTGTTTACTTTGTTTTTTACTGTCAGTAGCCTGGTTTCAATTAGCCTTAATTTCATCCGATTGCTTCGAGTCGTTTTTTCAATCGGTTAAGTATGGCTCGATCGTTTTTCAGAAATCATGTGATCATCCTCAGTGGCGTAGTGGCTATGTGAGGTCGGGCCAACTCGCAGGTACCGGGTTCAAATTCTGCTAACAACCTTCTTTTTCCCTTCTTCCTTTTTTTTTTCTTTTTTGTTTTGTTTTGTTTTGTTTCCTTATTTGTGTTGCTGTGTTTTTTTTGTTTGTTTTTAAATATATACGTAGATAACTTTTAATAAAGTGCGATAAACAGCAAGAAAAGTATTGTGTTTCCAGAACAAGGATATTATATTTATAATCTGAATTTCTATCATTTCCTAAAATTTACTGTAGGAAAACCAGAGGGTGATAACTAATTGATTATTTTCCAAACAACGTACCCACGAGTTGACGATAGTCTTTCTTTGATTTACGAACTCAAGAGTTTGTTCTGTTTGCAGAAGAGTAAACCACAGCAGCTCAGTTTGGAGGCCACTAGAAATCTGTTGGTGTGTTTGCTGTGGGTGTTGAAGAATATGGATAGTCAGGTCTTAAAGGATTGGTGGGCAGATCAGCAATCTTCAAGGTATAAAGAGATTGGTTCTATCTACTGAGTTAATAATAAACACTTAATTACTGGTCTGGAGGGGAACAGTAAATTTTGTTTCCCGGCAATCTCAATGTGTCCCGAAGCGGAGTCAAGGGAAACATTGAAATTCAAGGGAAACAAAATTAACTGTTTCCCTAGCCGAAGTGATTTGTTATATAGCTGGAAATTCATTTAACCTCGCTGTAACGGCGGTCATCGGTCAACATTCGCGGGTAACAGTGCACTGTTACCCTCTGACGTCTTAGATTTTGCAATGTTTTCCGCTCAGAGATTTTGGCGGGAAATAGGTTAATTGTAAGATGTCATGTGACCTTGAAGTAACTACTGAGAGCGAGCGCTGTTGGGAAAAAATTTCCAGCTATATAACAAAGGAAGTTGGCCACCTGAGGGAAAATGAGAAGCCGAGTTTTTGATTAGTGGCCCTTTGTTCCATAGTCATATTGGTTGAGCGTTTCCTGCTCATTTAAAAAAAACTTCTTGAAAAGCAGTTATGCCTATTGTTACTTACTTTTTTGGAATTTTCAATTTCACGAAGTTTTTGAATATCTCATACGCACTACAAGAGTAACAAGTTGAAAAACGTAAACTTCACTATTCAATGGCTATTTCGTTGAAAGATAGACGCGGTTAGAGCAGCCGAATTGATAGTGTACGAACGCAGACTTGTTTCTGGTCGTCGCCTCACGCCACCCGAAAAGTGGAGAGAATCGACGACCGGAAATACGTCTGCGTTTGCAGGCTACCGAATTGAAAGGAAAGAAAAGATCTACTGCGTTTAATTTTCAGTCTGTACAGTAAGTTGCGGCCTTAAAATTCACCAATAAATCAATTTATGATAGGTTGGGATTGCTACTGGACGTGCTTCGCCTGTGTGTCACTCTGTTCGAGTATGGCGGAAAGATGCAAAAATCGTCTCAATTCCCGGCAGCACCAAGGCCTAAATCCGCTCAGCAGGACATGAAGGCCAAGCTTGAAGAAGTTCTTCTTGGAAATAAGGGCGCTGCAAGGGAGATGATGCAACGTCATAGCAGAGTCATGTTAGGTAATGATTGGCCATTTTGAAGTCGCGTGAGAGACTGGGTTGGTGTTGTGTCGAACTGCACTATGGGATTGTTTTTGGAAACAATTTTGACCCAGTTTCTCCCGCAGCTTTGTAATAGCTGAGCGTTTAGAAACGGAGATGGCGTCCCCAAAAACGTTTCCTTAGCGCTATTTTACATAACAGCGCAACTGTTCGTGTTTATCGTGGAGTCAGTTTTGTTTAAAAATACATATTGTCTTCTTTATTCTGTATACATATCCCATAAGGATTCTCTTTTAAGTAATCCATACCTTTTGCCGTTGTGCTCAATTTCATTATTCGTCTGACGTTAATGCTTGCTTAAGCGGTGAATCAGACTCTTGTCACTGAGAGTGAGTCAGTACATGTACTCCTATGACGCCATAATTGACTTATGTTATAAGGTACTATGTTGTTTTGTACAATCAAACAGTGCCGTAGAGAGTAGAGAGCAAACCTGAAATTATGCAGAGGTGTATTTTGTGGTACCTCGGAGAGATTTTTCTCTCAAACTTTCCTGTAAACGCAGTGGTTTTTCTCATGGATGTACTTGTAAAGCTGAACCTTTCAAAACGCAGCAGTTATACGAAATAGTTACGTACTCTTCGCTAAACACATATGCTATGTCATAACAGAAAAGGGCCAGTCACCAGGCACGGAAACCAGACTGAGATGGCGTAAAGATCAAACACAGTGGAGACAGGCAAATGAACAACAAGACAGGTGAGTGTTAAGTGAAGATAATGTGAACGTTAACTTATCCGACACCCCTTTGGCGCACATCAAGAGTGGTGCTCTACTGCCCTGTACTTAGGTGATGCATTGTGCACTTTATTACCTTCGCATTCTTTCGACCTGAGCCGTTTCCCGGGGGAGGGAAAGGGAGAGCCGCAAAAACGTTTGGCTTTATTGTGAGTCGACCCAAAGAGATGTTAGCACGCAGTAAAAGATTATTTTAACGCACATTGAAACTCCGTCACTCCGTTCGCCAAGGTCGTATAGTCGATAAGAAAGTAGACAGATTTTTAAATCATGAAACTGCAAACGTCAATTTGCACCACTTGACCTAGTTTTCCTTTACTTGCGGCTTTTCTTTTTGGCCCTCAAAAATAACTAGTTTCAAGACAATTTCCTAAATAAGGAATATTTTAGACACTATTTATCGATTTGCTCTTTTTCTGATGTCAGAAACTAAGAGGTTTTACAAGTGCCTCTAGAAGTATAAAGTGCAACTGTAGCCTGTAGTCAGCGTAACTGTCAATCAACTTTCCGTTTCGGTCTTGCGACCTTTGGTCGCTCATATTTCATTCTTGCTCGGTGCGTTGCTGTTCTCGTTCATGTTGTTGTTTGTAGTTATTCATCATATTTCGAGCGGAGATGTATCCGTGGTGGGCGATCCCGCACCTATTTGAAAGATCACTCTCCCTAGTGAGAATAGGCAATCATCAAAGTTTATATTGACTATGTGTAGCGTGACGTAAGTTTCTAAATAACTTTCATTTTTGGTTTTTTTGTTCTTTTCTTTCTGTCATTGTACTGCAGACTTCGTCCAGAAGCGGAGGTCAGTGCGCATGTCGAGGGGTCCCTCTCAGCTGAAGTCACGTCAATTGTTCTTGATGCGCTGGAGCAATTAGTCCAGGTAAGTGTTTTATGTGTTTTTAAAGGGGGGAAAAAGTATATTTTGAAATTTGAAGAAAACCTCAAAATATTAGTTTCACTAAAGAAGTAAAGGGAAATTCTAAAGCGGGTTTAGCATGGTTTGCTTTGGAGAGGTTTCACCATGTTCTAAACGAGTGAAAAACTGGGCACGGCATGTGCCCTGAAAGCTTGTTGGGATCGTTTGGCGCACTACAACTGCTGTGGTCGAAATTGTAGTAATACTTTCAGACAGTTGTCCGACGGCAGAATTCAAGAGCAATCAACATTACTAACTGACTAGTCAAAGGCTAGAGCACAGATAAATACATGACAATATTCACGAAAACGACGAAACTCACGACTGAGGTAGTTGAAGGAAAACGATAGGAAATGAAAGCAAAGCTTTTGGGAAGCTTTCGGTAAACAACTTAATATGTGAAATCATGAAAGTTAGGAAGCACGAAAGGAAAACTCCGAAGTATTATTTCGCTGGGCAATCACACAACGACATGTAGAAATGATGCCTGTATTTTTTGGCCATATGAGAATCCACCTCATTGGAGAGAAAACAACATTGGCCGCCAGAAGCCTTGTTTCCTTTCAGCTACGTTTGATGTAACATTTATTTTTAAATTTTTACCTGTTCTTTAGACCGTGGCTTCCTCAGACACCTTACGTGTGGTCCTTAGTGGAATTCTTAGGGTTCTTCTTCACAGTTTAAGCTGCAACCAAAGTGAACGTGTCCTACAAAATTTGTTTGCGTCACAAAGATCAATTGTGTACAAGGTGAGCTAAGAAAAGAGGATAACTGTTGAGGAATATGTTTAACACTAGTCATGGTGTTTTCGTAGAGACTAAACACGAAAACCAGAAAATACGACATGTGTTGGTGTATGTTGAACACACTTCAAGATTTTTAATAATTGTTGTGATGAAACACTGTGTCAGGGATTTTATGACTTAATAAGTTGATAAATCCTTTATTTACCCTCGGCAGCGGTGTTTATAACGGAAAGGCTTTTAGAGCCGAGCAAATCAGTGACCGGGTTACAGGATTACGAATTCCATCTCTAAATAACCACATTTGTTACGTAATTATGCTTATCCAAAAGGTGCTAGCTTTACTACAGAAATGGTATTGTGTTTCCACTGCAGTTCCCTGAGCTGTTGTTTGATGACGACACTGAGCTTTGCGCAGACCTCTGTTCCAGACTCCTTAACCACTGCAGCTCGGCCATCAGCAGTATTCGGGCCCAGGCTAGCGCATCCCTCTATCTCCTCATGAGGCAGAACTTTGAAATAGGAAACGTAAGTTTGCAAAATCTCTTGTTACCGACTTCAACGAGATTCATCTTTTATCCTCTCATTGTCCTATTTTTACAAGGGAACTTTAAAGTCGCCAATTCTACACGGTCTACTAACTATACAACCTGTAAATTATTACATGGCTGGCTCTGAAAGTGGGCAATGCGAAACGAGTTGTGTGTACTGTTGGACATGTGTGTAATCAGCTACCCAAGCAGGCAACATGAGCCTGTTTGGTTGCTTGGGTAGAGTATAAAGGAGTTTTAATGAAATTTAGGGAAATCAAACTACAGGAAACTGGCCACCAGATTAAAATTTAAAAGTAACAAGTTAAAACAGTAAAGGAACATTGAAATAACAACTTATGCAAACGAAGCAACGGATAGACAAAATTGAGCAAGATTAACACGGATTGCTGTTGGTTTTTTCAGAGTTTATCTCTGTTGTTCGTAATTGTTGAATTATACTGTTTGTAACATTGCTCATGATTTTATGTTGAACGTTATTTACCTCTTTGTTCTAGAACTTTGCGCGTGTCAAGATGCAAGTTACAATGTCACTGTCGACTCTTGTTGGAACTTCACACGTTAGTTTATTCATATTTATAGAACACCACATTTTGATTAAAAGATAAACTTTTCAGTGTTTATCCCAGAGCTAGAATTGTATGCTATAATTTTATGATTTCATCCAAAAACTCAAGTATTAACTAACTGTCATCAAAAAAACATCTGTCAGCTACATGTACCATTTTTATGCACTACCGTAACGGAAACTAAGTTAAGAATTTTTCAATTTAAATTTTTGCATAGAAGGATAGCTACAAACGACTTACTTCTTAAGATAGAAACACTTACGCATCTCTTTTGGGACTGTAGATTAACTCAGACTTTTTGGAATAAATTAATGTTTCGCAGAGGACCTCTGAAAATCTTGATCTGACGAACGTCACTCCCTTCTCACCAGCTCTTTTCCTCGGCTTGACTGACGAGTTTGACAATCCAGTTTACTCCTACACCAATTTCTCTTTATCGCTAGTAAATAGTTCCATTGGAAAGTATTACTGGAGAAATTTCATTTGAAAAGTCACATCATAGGATTTCATCCGCAGAATTTAGAGTTGGAACTGTGTACCCTTAAATAGTTCCATTGGAAAGTACCGCTGGAGAGGTTTCATTTGAAAAGTCGCATCATAGGATTTCATCCGCTGAATTTAGAGTTAGAACTGTAAACCAATTAATAGTTCCATTGGAAAGTATTGCTGGAGAGGTTTCGTTTGAAGAATCACACAACAGGATTTCATCCGAGAATTTAGAGTTAAAAGTATCCACCAATAAATAGTACCATGTGAAAGTACTGCTGGAGAGGTTTCATTTAATTGGTCAAACCATAGTATTTCATCCACAGACTTTATTAGCAATGAATAACTCCCGTACTCTGGTAGTAAAAGTGGTGAAGCAGATTTTAATTACGTTCGACTCTTTGTTATAGACATTTAGCGAGGAGCATCTGCGTCGGTCACTAAAGACAATTATTACCTATGCTGAATCAGACCAAGAACTAAGGACAAGCACTTTCCCAGATCAGGTACGTAACGTGCAAACCGATACTTTCCTTTCTGGTGTACTGGCCTTTTTTTTCTCGTCGTTATAGAGTGGAGAATTTGTTTGATAATTAATACTTGGCTCATTCGCTTTGTTCTCATAACCGTTATGTGTGATTAAGCAATGATACCACTTTCATAGGAAGAAATAATAGATGCTAGTCACTTCCACAGCTTGAAATCTTTTACGTCCTTTAGTATTTCTGTGTTGTGTATGTTACAGGTTTGATTTCAGGATAATTTTGATTTTTCCCTAGACGGATTCATAACTTCGTTTGTCCTTTAACTCTAAGACACAAAGGAAATTGATAATTAACCTAGGTTAAATAGTCTTAACCTGAAATCAAATTTAACCTGTAACATGCACACTCTAACTGCCATTCGTTGCAAATGAGCAAATATCTGAGGGATTCTTAGTTGTTTGACTTTGTATTTTCTTATTTTTGTCAGTGTAAAAAGGCTTTTTCCTATGGATTTGGTGCCACAGCTCTTGTTTAAAATCACAGCTTATCAATCTTATCATTTGTACTAAATTATAAGTTTCAACAAAGTGTAAGATATTAAAGAGGTCATAACAGGCCTATTAATTAAAGGGCCTAGAGTAGAAAATCTATTTTTCTGTTAATTGTGCTTTTAACGATAAC